CGCTCCGCCGGACGAGCTAGCAGATCAACAGGTCGAGCTTTTGGGGCGTGTCGCGCCGATCGGTCTCGCCAGTCCGGGGTCGTTTTTCTTTCTTTCCGGCTGGAGAGAAAAGGAAAGTCGTTTGCGCCCCGTTTGTGCCGCGTCCCGTGCCCCCGAGTTTACGCGATAATAAATTATGATTGATGACACACACAGAACACAGAGGTGACAGTACACGGACTAGATTGATCGGATCTCATCGTGACACTAGACAGCGCCAGGGGGAGCCTGGGAGGCAGCCATCAGCTTCTGGCCCATGGAGTAAAGCCAGTCCGCCTCCGCCTCGTCGTCCTGTGAGTGCTGCGGCTGGTAGTACTTGACCGCCTTGCCCTTGGTGTCGATGACGTCGTGGTCAGGTGATATGCGATTGCCGAACATGCGCGACACCCGGATGGTCTTTGCCTTGCCGGCGGCGAAGGCGGTCAGGCTATCGTAGTCGCCGACCACAGCTAGTGGGCGGCCGGAGGTGTAACTAGGCGCGTAGAGGTAGTTGTCGGGGTGGTCGGCACCGCCGCCCTTTGAGGAGGAGATCACATGCAGCACGTCCTGCCCATCAATCTCGTCGCTATCGAGCAGCACGCGCAGGCACCGTGCATACACGGCTCGCGTCATGCACTCCGACTCAGCGATCGCCTTGCGCGCCGCGCCAGCTCCGCAGCCTTGTGGAGTCTCGCCTCGAGATCGGACGCTGCGTCGTGGATGCTCTTCGCGTGATCAATGTACCAACTCACCGCCTCCTTACGCGCATCCACCTCCGCATCCACCGGCGGTTTTGTTGAGGAGCTTCACAGTAGCACAATCGTCGATCTCGAGCACCACAAGGCTGCGCGCGCCGGGGGTTTCTTTTTTTGGTTTTTCCGCGCTCCGGGGGGTTCTTTCTTTGCGAGGGACTTTCTTTCCAGTTTCGGCGGACGCCCCGCGCTGCGCACTGGCTCCAAGATAATTCTTCCGATCCACATGCTAGGGGTCGCAGTGGGATCTAGAAATTCAGAAAAATCATGAGGTGTGGTACCGGCAGCATCCTCTGTTGTTTTGTGTTTGCAGCCTCTGTGTCGGTCGGATAAAAATGGAAATAAATGGACACGCATGCGCATGACAGGACCCAGTATAGTACACAGCACAAGCATGATTCACCGCCACAGGCGCGCGGCCGCGGGGAGGGGCGACCTGGCTTCGAGATAGATGATTCTGCAACCCACATGCTAGGGAGGTCCGTGCTCTAACTACTCTATCGTTGCTCGACCACGCGTTTGGGCTCTCTCGAGGAGGAAGTGGCGGCCCCCGCGGGAGCTCGCTCGCGCCGATGCTGTCATGCGGGACCGATTGAGCGGCGGCTCGCAGTGGGATCGGACTGCAGAAGGTCCGTTGGGGCCCTCGAGACGAATGACCGTACGGTTGCGGCGCGTTTGCCCCTTCTCGTCCAGACTCCACGCGCCGGGCCCACCCCGCCGGACCACTGCGCCGCGCTTCCCGACTGGTTGAGCTGATGGCGTGACGATAACCCAACGCTAGTACAGCCAGAGTGCGATTGTGTGTGTGTGCGGGAGTTGGTTTGATGGTTTGGCGGGAGGGAGGGGCAGGCGATGCGGAGCGAAGCGAGCATTGCGATCTTTGTGCAGGGTTCTTTGTGGGTGTGGTCGGCGACTAGCCGGGGTCGTCCTCCCGATGGGGGACTAGCACTAGCCGTCTTCCACATGGTCCCTCGGGTCCCTGCTGCTCCCCTATGTAATCTCTTCGATTGTCGGATATTGTGTGTGTGCGGGAGTTGGTTTGATGGTTTGTCGGGAGGGAGGGGCAGGCGATGCGGAGCGAAGCGAGCATTGCGATCGAACCGCGCATCGCTGGGTTCCGCTCGATAGGGGGTCTGGCGCCACTAGCGGCCAAAACGCCCAACCAACCCAGCCCCGCCTAGCCGCGCTCCAAGGGCTGTCGCCACGCACGATTCACACGACAGATACAAGGCGCAGGCGACGGCTTCCTAGGAAGCCGTCGCCCTCTATGCGGCGAGTACCCACCGACGGTGTCGCGCAGAAGCGCTTTCCCTGTACACGGCGCGCTGCGCTGCCACACGCTGCTCTCACTAGTGCCAAGCGGCGATCGAGTCATCAGGGCGTGGGGCGCTGCCCCTCACTCATGCCCGCTCGGCCACCTCCGCCCGGACCTTCTCGAGCTCCACGTCGCGCGCCGCCACCGTCCCCTTGAGCTTCGCCACCGTCCCCTTCAGCTCCGCCACCTGGTCGAGCGCGTCGCCGAGCAGCCCCTTGGCCACGCCAAAGTCGCGCAGCTGCTCCACGCCGCCGCTCGCCCGCACCTCGGCGGCGTGGTCGGCCACGAAGCGGCGGCACTGCGCGAGGAGCCGCCCGTCGCCCATCGTGTGCGCCGCCTCGAGCAGCGGCACGGCGGTCGCCGGCGCGACGCTCTCCTGCAGCGCCTGCGCGCAGAGCAGCTCGAGGCGCGGCACCTGGTACATCTGCGCCAGCTCCCGCAGGTCGAGCGCGCGCTGCGCCCTGCCCTCCTCCTCGCCGAGGTCGAGCTCATCGGTGCAGAGGTAGTCGATAAGGGCGGTGAAGCTGGCGAGGTCGGTGTGGGCCACCGTGACATCGGCGGCGTCGCGCTCCTTCATGCCGATGCCAAACATGGTCCGAAAGACCGGGGACCGAATGCAGAGCACGTTCTTGCTCACGTGCTCGATGCGCTCCCGGTCGTCGCCGACCAGGAAGGTGACCATGCCCTGCGGGAGGGAGGCGTCGCCCCGCGTCTTCTTCATGTCGGCCGAGAAGGTGGAGGGCGGAATGACGATCGGGGCAAAGGAGGGAGGCGGAGGAGGCGCAGCCACGCAGACCTGGCGGAGGCCACCTTCCGAACCGACCAACAGCGTGCTCCCGTCCGGGCTGATTGCGACTTCATCTGGGCTGGCGAGCTGCGCCGCGTCGCCCACACCATCGGCGTTGCCCTCGGTGCCGCTGCCCGCGAGGGTCGTCACAGCGCCCGTCGCCACCTCGACCCGCCGAATCTTGTGGCTCTCATTGTCCGCCACAAACAGCGCGCTGCCGTCCGTGCTGATGGCCATACCGTAGGGGTAGCAGAACTCCGCCGCGTCGCCCACGCCATCCGCGTCGCCATTCTCGCCGCTGCCCGCGAGCGTGGTCACCGCGCCAGTCGCCACCGCCACCCGCCGGATCTTGTGGCCGCCGTTGTCTGCCACAAACAGCGCGCTGCCGTCTGGGCTGATGGTGATGCCAAGCGGTATATTGAACCCCGCCGCGTCGCCGACGCCATCGGCGCTGCCCGTGGTGCCAGTGCCCGCGATCGTCGTCACCTCTCCCGTCGCCACCTCCACCCGCCGGCTTGTCGTTGTCGTGGTCCGTCACAAACAGCGCGCTCCCGTCCGGGCTAATGGCGATGCCAGCTGGGCCGTTGAACTGTGCTGCTTCGCCCACGCCATCGGCGCTGCCCTCGTCGCCGCTTCCAGCGAGCGTGGTCACCTCGCCAGTCGCCACCTCCACCCGCCGGATCTCGTGGCCGCTGAAGTCCGCCACAAAAACCGCGCTCCCGTCCGGGCTGACAGTAACGGTGTAATAGTAGTCGCCACCTCCACTTGCCGGCAAGGCTGCCACGCGGCGCACGCGCCCGGCCGCCGAGACGTGCAGCAGCGAGTCAACGGTCGCGACGTACCAGGCGCCCGCGTGATCGCTCGCGACGCCAACGCGACCGAGCGATGCCTGAAGGCCGTCCTCGCCCTCGAGCGTCAGCGTGGCGACCTGGCCGACGCGCGCGCCAAAGATGGGCGCCTCGAAGCCATCCGCGACCGGAACGGGCTCCTCGTCCTCCTCGCCGCCGCCGCCGCCCGTGCGGGCGCGCTTGCTGGCTCGGGACATGGGGGGTAGATTCGGGACGAGGGCTGGGTAGGGTAGCTCGGATCTCTTCATAGAAAAACCCAACACGACATCGGAGGGGAGGCGCCGGTAGCGCGCGAGTGCTCCCTGCCGCCAAAGGAGGTGCTGGACGAGGCGTGCCGTGCGATCGAGAAGGCGCACTTCACGGGCAAGGCGGACAAGGTGATGGTGCCGCAGATGCTGGCCGAGTTTGAGTGGACCTTCCGCAGCACGTTTGAGCAGGCGCTCGAGGACTATGCGACGAGCGGTGCGACTATTGGGCGGAAGGAGCAGGAGGCGATGCAGCAGGAAACGCCGGCACGTCTGGCTGAGTGCTGCGTGTGAGACGAGAGAGCGAGCCACAAAAGTACCGCCGGAGACAGACGGCCTGCTGCAAGCACTTGTGAACAATGTGTGAGTGTGTTAGATCTACATGTAGTATATTGCGAAACCTCTCTTGTCAGTTGTGATTCCCTGGGGCCCCTCAACGCCAGCGCGAGAGCAGCGCCTCCGGCGGCACCTGCCCCGGCTTCTCGCCGTCCTCGAGCAGCGCTGCGCCAGGAAGGGCACCGTCGCCGCGTTGATCTTGGAGAGCAGCCCGTTCTTGATGATGTTGTACGCCTGCTGCAGTGCCACCTGCTTGTTTTCGGGCGCGTAGAGCAGCTGCCTTGACTTTTCTTCTTTTCCTTCTATTTTCATCACTTGCACGGATAGTTCCCCGCTGTTGAAGTTACAGCCGCAAGTGTCACGCGCCAACCGCAACTGTTTAAAAAAAAAGTAACAATCCAGCATTCGCGAGGGGGTCGCCGAGGCGCCCAGGGCGCGCGGGGAAGCTCGCAGGGCGTTGGGGTAGCTATGCCTCACGTGCAGCGCCGACGGTCGGGGTCGGCGGAGCACGCCAGCGGCAGGAGAGCGCCTGGGTCCCAGTGGGACCCGGGTCCCAATATATTCGTTCCACGAACGTGCTTGCGCGTCGAAAACCGGTCGAACGTCCGCCAATAGAAAGTTTGGCCGCCAAACGCGTGCTACTGCTAGCTGCTACCGGTGGAACGAGCGTACACTGGTACTCGGTGCTTTTAGGGGGCTGAAAATAGAGCCGTAGTACTTACGAGTTACGTGGCGATATGCAAGTAGATCTCATGAGTCATGTGTGTGTGCATATCGCCACGTATCTCGCGCTCTCGGAATGCGCGCGAACGTGCTCCGCGTGTGCGCGCCACACGTGTACTGCGGCAGCCGACGCGTATAAGTTACCTGGCGTCCGTGAAATGCGGCGCCTTACTTCGTGTGGTCAGCGCGACCCGCGCGGCTATCCCGCAACGGGCGGGCAAGCAGCCGGAGGCGCGCGAGCCGCTGTGCGTGTCATCTGCTCCGCCCCCAAGTACTCTCAGGCCATGTACTCCTTGAAGACCTCGTTCTCCGTCTCGTCAAAGTAGGTGACGCCTACAGCACACCGCCTCGCACGTGGAGCGGCCGTGGCCCACGCAACGCCTCCCCCGGGCAGCAGCCGCCGAGTCCGTCGAGCATGGCGTCAAAGTCGCCGTGCTTGTTAGCGGGCCTACGATGTGCCAGACGCGTCCCGGACATGTCCTTCGGCGCCTCTTCCTCCCGCGGCGCTGCAGCCGCACATCTTGACGCCGGCGAGCACCTTCCCGACCTGCCCGCCGTGGTTGCGGTAGTGCAGCAGCGTGAGGAACATGTCGGGCGTGAGCGCCGACAGGAAGGCGGCGAGTGAGCCTGTTCACAGGCGCGTACCGTGGGCAGGGGCTCTTCACAGCGTGAGGCAAGGACGTGTGGAGAGCGAGCCCGAGTGCTCCGGGAACTCGAAGCGGATCAGCCGCTCGCCAGTCAACTCACCGGGCCGCGCGCCTGAAGCAACCCGCGTCACTCTCATCCGCAAGCCTCCGCCGCACCGCCCCCCCGCCTCTCTCGCCAGGGCAGCGCACCGGCCAGGTAGCGCGCGTGCGTCTTCGCCATCTCGTTGGCCGTCACGTCGGAGCCGTGCACCTGACGAGGTGCGGCCGAGGTCGGGGTGGCGGTGGGCAGGCCTTGAGGCGGCGGCGAGGGCGGGAGGGCGGCGGCGAGGGCGGGAGGGCGGCGGCGAGGGCGGGGCGCGCGGCACCTCAATCTTGCGCAAGTCGTCGAGGAGAGCGCGCGAGTCCTCCTCGGCAGACTCCTGCGTGGTCGGCCGCTCGAGCGACATGTACACGACGGCGTCCTTCGACGGCTCGTGCCGGAAGATGAACTCGGTCACCTGCGCGGCGGCAGAGGGCGGGCGTGACGAGGCGCCGTCCTCCCGCCTCAAGGCGGAGGAGGGAGCGCGGCGGGCACCCAGCGAGGCTGCACCGCCTTGTACACCTCGTAGAACATGCCGCTGCGGTCGGGCATCTTGAGCGCGTACAGCCGCTCCGTCTGCTCGCCTACTCCTCGGACCAGCCTCGGCTCAGCCTCGGCGGAGCCCTCCGATGGCCCGGGCAGCCCGGGTCCGCGTCGCCGTACGAGGCTCGCTCCGAGATGAAGCGCAGGATGTCGAACTCGATACAGCTCGCGTCGCTAGAGATGACGACGTAGTTGCCTGTCCACACACACACGCCGCCCAGTCAAGGACGCGGCGCCTCGCCACGGGGAGGGGAGGGGGACGGCAAGCTCACCGCGCGAGGCGCCGCCTGCCGCGGCGGGCCGCGTCGCGAGCCAGCGCTTCAGGCCTGCGACGGAGATGGCGCCGGCCGGCTCGAGCATCGCGCGTGTGTCCTCGAAGCAGTCGCGGACGGCGGCGCAGATCTCGTCTGTCGAGACGGTCACCTGGAGGAGGGGCCCGAGACGCGTCCGAGAGGTGTCCGTGACCTCGGGCGGATCTCCCGTCCCTCGAGACAGCCACCACGTCGTCGACGAGCGAGTCGCACAGCCGGAAGACCTCCGAGCCGAGCTGCTGCACCGCCGCGCCTACTTTGTCCGCTGGCGTGAGGAGAGGATGTCCAGAGGCTGAGAGGCGAGCTGCCGCGCCGCCGCGCCGTCCACGAAGTGGGACGGCTCGGACAGCTTCGGCCGGTGCCCGGCGAGCAGCGAGCGCTGCATCAAGTTGTTCTCCTCCGGCTCGACTCCGATGACCTTGGTGCCTGCTCGAGGCAGTGCCGCGGCGTGAGGCGGGCCCCCTCCCGCCTCGCGGCCGCCTCTCGGACAGCGTCGCTCGGACCGGGCATGAGCTGCTTGACGATGGCCGCGACGCCGGCGATCAGAGAGCCCCCGCCCGTGCAGACGAAGATTGCCTGCAGGGAGGCTCCGAGACGGCTCCGAGAAGGCTCCTCGAGGGGGCGTCCGCCGCCGCGCAGACGAAGAGTGCGTCGAGCGACTGGCCAGTGCCGGGCGGCAGGTGGCCGTTTGCCCGGGCGACCGCCTCCGCCGCGCCGCGCATCGCGTGCGGCGCGATTCCGTTTGAGAAGCGGCCGGTGCGGCTTAGGGCGCGCTTCTGCTGCATGAGCGGGTCGAGGGCCGCAGAGTGCTGCCGGACGATCTCGAGGCCGCAGGTCGCGTTGCCGGAGATGACCCGCACGTCGTCGTGCAAGTGGCAGAAGACGGCGCCCCCGTCCTCGCGCGCGAGCCGCTGCGCCTCGCGCTTCGCATCCTCGAGACCGGAGCCGTGTATCACCTGCGCAGTGCGGCGCCGGCTCAGTCTCGGCTGCGTCTCGGCTCCGGCTCCGGCCCGCGGAGGAGAGCGGCACCACGTTCGCGCCCGCGCGCTCGATCTGCGAGCGCCGCTGGCGCGGCGTCCGCTCGGGCAGCACGATGGTTGCCTGCATGCCTGGGGAGATATGAGGGAGATATGGGGGAGATATGGGAAGATAGGGGGAGATATGGGTGGCCAGGACGGGAGGGCGGGTGGCGTGGTGGAGGGAAGAGCCGGCGCCGGAGGGCTGGGACCGGGCGTGGGAGAACGGGCGGTGGTGGCAGTGGGAAGCGGTCGATGGCGACGCCGTCCGGCCGTGGACCGAGCATGGCCCTCTCGGCCGCATCTAGGCGAGCGGTGCCCAGCGCAGAGGCGGCGACGGCAAGGGAGTGGCCCTGTCCGCCGACGGAGTAGGTGACAACGCTGGTCGCGCCTGCAGGAAGGCGTGGCGGTGGGCGTGTGGCGCGGTCTGGCCTGGGCGCCGGTGGGCAAGGGGGTGGGGGCTGCTCGCGCCCTCGCGACGCACGGAGTCGAGAAGGTTGAAGGCGCCTACGGCGGCAGCAGCCAAATAAGCCTCGCGGATGCGGATGGCGGAGAGGGCAGAGATCCCTCCGGCCATCATGGTTGGCCGTCTCTCTCGGCTTCACCTCGGCTGGAACCGCCTGCATCTCTCGGCCGGAAAATTAAATCTCGGCCGCCGCATCTCGGCTAGTTTCGCCGCACCGCGGATCTTGTATGAGAAGGACGGCAGCAGGTCCTCGCGCTTGAAGTGCACGCAAGCGCCGAGGCGGTGAGAGAGGCCGGGAGCATACTGCAGCGGCGAAGCGGTGACGAGGTCGTACACCCGCGACGTCAGTGCCAGCCGCACGTAGTCGGGAGCCGAGTCCATCGACTCCAACTGCTCGCCATCTCCGAGCGCCGGCGCACGCGTCTCCTCGCGCGGCAGGTTCTTGCGCTCCTGCAGCTTCGCCAGTGGCACGCGTATCCGATACGGCAGGCCCGCGCCGCTGCTAATGCGCCGGTGCGGCCCGCGAAGGCGGGCCAGCTTCATTGAGTCGCAAACGACGCGTGCGTTCGGAGCTCAGCCAGGAGGCGGAAGCCGAAAAGAATTTGCAGATACCAGGTACACCTGTCCTCGTCCCATCCCTCGTTTGGCGTGTCTGTTTTCTTTCTTTCTTTCTTTTACACCACGGGATCCAAAAGAAACGTGAAGGCCGCGGATTCTTCCTGCTCACGTGAGAGAGGGCAAGGGAGGACCGGGCGCTGGCATACCAGGGGGGGGCAGGGTGGTGGGCGGCGACCGCCGCATACCGTCCTACAGCGGGGACTATCGCTACGCCAGGGAAGACAAGGACGTCGAAGTGCAGCTGCTGCTGTTCTCGACTGTTCGGCGGGTTCGGGAAGGGGGTCTCCGCGAGACCCGGCCAGGCCAGCGGAGTTGCGGCGACCCTAGTTGCGCGGCCTATGCCCGCAGTGCGCAGATGAAGAAACCTCTCTCCCGCTCTACATTCTCTGACCCAGTGATCTCGACGGACGACAGCGAGGACTGGAACGATGAAGACGGCGAGAGCTCCGCCGATCCGGGCACCTGGCAGAAGGCGGACGAGGCGATCCTTCAGCAACGCAAGATGCGCAAAGCAAAGATGCCAACAGCCAGCGGAGCTAGTCTGCTAGGCGGCGCGGCCGGTCGGTCCCTCCAACTTGCGAACCCGTTTGCGGCGCCTGCGCCCAGGACGATGCTCGACACGTACGAAGGGAACGTTGAAAGGGCTGCCGAAGCACTGGCTTCCGCATGACGTCTTGACGTCTGTACGGTACGTTGCGATTATCTTGTACTGTAGTATGATCGTATAGAGTATGTCGAGAACGGTTCGTTTTTCTTTTTCTTGCGGGCCGGGGCTGCCGACTGAAGTGCCGACTGTCACTCTGCCGGTATATTACTGCCTTCGCGCGGTGAGAGGCCCAATAGGCAGCAGAGCTGGGATGCTCCTGGCTGCCCGAAGAGTGCCCGGGGCGAACTGGGGTGCACAGTGGCTGGACCGGGTGTGAGTGCTTCTGCTGCCTCTGCGGGCGTTCCAATTGCGGAGATGGAGCGATCCCCTCTGGAAGGCGGCGGACGTGCTACAGAACAAGCTGACGCGGGCCCAATACCTCGATGAGGTGACTTGGACCACTAGATCTAAGAACTGGCTGGGGCTGCAGCAGCAGCGTATCTCGGTCGTTCTTCACACGGCAATCGCAGAGCAGATTGTGAACGAGCTTGCCTGCGTGCGGCTGGCGGGGGCGGGCGGGTGCACGGAGCTAAGTGCCTCGCCGCCCTCGCGGGAGTCGCTTGGCGGCTCCCGTAGTGTACCCGTGTTAGTGCCAGTGCGCGCCAGTCCCGTGCCCAGTGTCGTGCGAGGCGGCGTTGTAAATTCTTTTTCCTCAAGCAACGTCGCCCGGCCCTTGCCGGCGTTCGTTTCGCGGCCGCCGGTTTTTGACTCGTCAGAGCGCGTCCGTGCCTCGCGGCGGCTGGGTCACGAGACATAGCCCACGCTGATTCGAGGCGAGAGCCGAGCGCCACGCCCTTTTCATGGTTGCCTCCCTCCTGGGCTTCGCCGCGCTCCTTGGCTTCAGCCCGCGCCCGCAGCCTCCCTCCAGCTACGATTATGACTACGACAGCTATGATCCCGGACCCGTCGACAGCAACAGGTCCCAACAACTAGGCCAGTTCGTCAACGGCAGCACACAGCGGCTGGCTCGGTCTGCGAGCGGCAGCACACAGCGGCTGGCTCGGTCTGCGAGCGGAGGCTCTCAGCCGCCTGCGCATTGCCTCACCTTCGACGATGTTGCGGAGAAGTGGTTTCAGGCGTACGAGCAGCTTGCATCAGATGACGGCCACGACGTCTGCGTGAACAACAGGCTTCGAAAAGACATGAAGAAGATGTGTCTCCCTGCGTTGGCGATCGCTGTGAGCGAGTCTTACGACATCGGCCAGTGCACTATCTCCGCCGGCGCGCCGTTCGACTCGTCCGCATGCAATGGCGGTACGATGTGCGGTGTCTGGCAGATCGTCGGCTGCTATCAGCCGCTGTGCCTGCCAGGCTTCACCGCCGACGTTCCCAACCCACCGGACGTCGCGACTCACGCCAAGGCCATCTACACGCACCTGACCAGCTCCGAACCAAATTGGGGTTGCAACGGCGAGTACTCCGGCAAGCTGACCTCGGCGACCATCCCGGGCATCCGGCAGAAGCAGCGCCTAGACGGCTCGAAAGGGCACCGCTTCTGCGCCGGGGCATGTACACGCCGTCACACGGCCCTCGGCCCACTGCCCGAACACCTCTGTCCACACCGATAACAGTCTTCGCGCTCGTTGCCTCAGGGACGGGCGGCAACTATAAAAACAATGTGCTCAACCGGGTCGACGGGAAGTTCAAAACCCTCAAGAAAGCGTGCAACCGGGCACTGAAAAGAGTGCTGCGCAGCAGCCAGTGTTAGAAGTCAAGAGGTGCCCCGGGAGGTGGGCCAGTGTTAAGAGGGCTGCCGGGGCGATATGGGAGTGAAGGACGACAAAGTCTCTCCACCTTGCAGGGAAAAGGGAGAAGAGGAGTCGGGGAGGGTCTCAAGAAGAAGCGTCGTCCCCGCAGCGCGCCGCGAGAGCCGAAGCGACGACGCCTGAGGGCCTGACCCTAGGCCTGACCAGCAAGCACGCGCGCGCGATTTCTTTTGCGAGCTCAGCAGAGATGGCTCGGAGCGTCTCCTGCTTGCTGCTCGGCCTCTTGGCCAGCGCCAGCGCGCTTTCGCTCGGCGCGCGGGCTGCCCCGGCGGCCGCCGCCCGCGGCTGCCCGACGATGATGGCGGCCGCTGCCTTCCGCACTGGCGACATGGTCAAGATCCTTTCGGGAGACGACAAGGGCGCCGTCGGAAAGGAGCGCCCGACGCCCCGCGCAAGCCGGCCGCGCCTCCGCTCGCGTGCGAGGCTGGGAGGCAAGACCTCACCGACGTCCCATTGCACGCGCAGGTCATCTCGCTCGACCGGAAAACGAACAAGGTTGTCGTCGAGGGAGTCAATGTGCGCGCCACACAGCTGCGTCCACATCGCCTGACTCTGGGCACCTGGCCAGCTCGCCGCTTCGTCCACCACCCGCTATCGCCACCCACAATCGCCGCCGATCAGCGCCACAGCACCACGAATCAGCCGCCGCCGCGCGTTTCCCTCACCCTCATCGCCACGGGCACGGCAGGTGCGCACCAAGCACGTCAAGCCGATGAAGGAGGGCGAGCAGGGCCGGCTGCTCAAGCGCGAGGTTGCCGTGCACCTTTCCAACGTCGCGCCGTCCGATGAGCCCGCGCCGGCAGAGGCTGCAGCGCCGGCCGCCGAGTAGCGTCTGAGAGCGTAGTCTACACCTTCCCGGACTTATTTCTTGTCTCTTCCCCGCGCGCGGGTACCGAGTTGTACAAGTACTGCTCCTGTGTTCTTTTTACCCAGAGGATCGCTGAATTGGATCCCTTGTCCAAAACACACACATACCGCGGAGCGAGCGGTCAGAGCAGCTCGAAGCTGCTGGCCGCCTCGCGGTACACCTCGGGGCGCGCCTCCCACTCGGCCGCGGGCACGCGGGACGCAAACGTGAAAAGGTTGTCCCGCTTGGCGCCGACGACGCAGACAGTGTAGGTCGGCGCCTTGTTCAGGGAGGGGTACTCGACCTTATACTCGAACTGGTAGAGCGGCAGCCCGGTCTGTGCGGAGGCCCGCTCGAAGGAGCCGAGAAGTGTCGTCTCGCGCACGCCCGGCTTTGCGATGCTCGACTGCAGCAGCCGCTCCGCAGCCTCGGCGGGCGGGCCCAGCGTGCCGCGCAGGCTGAAGCCGGCCACCAGGCTGCCGATGACGACGCTCAGGTTCTCCTCGCCCGCCTGGCCGGGAGGTCCAAACGCGACGTCAGGCCCGCTCCCGCGCGGCGGCGCCCGGGCGGCGGCGCCGCCGCGAGCGGCTGCGAGCGCCGGGTCCATCGTCCGCTGCGCGTAGGCTCGGTCGGCGTTGCGGAGGAAGACGGCCTGGTCCTGCACGTAATTCGCCGGGTACCGGAACTCGAACCGGCTCGCCGGGTCGACGTAGCGCTGGAAGCCGGGCCCGTAGTCGAGTCCGCCGGCAGAGTACGGGTAGAACCGCTGGTCCGATATGGGGTAAAAGGTGTCGAGCCGGCGCGCGCGTGCCGCCTCGGGCGCGAGAGAGAGCAGGAAGGAGCCAGAGCCCCAGAGGTTGACTGCGGGAGCGATAAGGGTTGCGCCCAGCGCGGGAAGCAGCGCGCGGCGAGGTCGAGGACCCAGCAGCCAGAACCACAGAGGCAGCGGCTCGTCGTCGGAGAAGCGGCCGGCGCCACTCCAGTTCGAGCTGTAGCGCGGCGCTTCGCCCTCGGCGGTCGCCGGCTGCTGCGAGGCCGGAGGCTCCGGCTGCGCGCCTGGCGGCGGCGAGCACAGTCTGCCGCCACGCGCGCGGAGCCGAGGCGGCCGCGCAGCGGCGGCGCCGCCGGGAACGAGCGAGGTGGCGGCTGCGGCGAAGATCGATAGCATATGGTGTATTCGGAGAGGGGGTTGTGTTCTCTAGGCCCCAAGGGCCCTGCGCGCGGCGTGGGAAGCGAGCTTTGCACAGCTTGCACCAGCTAGCACGGCGATCAAAAATGGCGCACTTCACTCCCTTCAGGCGAAAGAAGCAGCTGTCCTATACGAGAGAGGAATCCCTGGGACCCTGTCGTGTGGGTGAACCCTGCCCAGCCCCCCTCCGTGTCGCGATGCGCTCCCCGCTCCCGTTCCCCTGTGTCCCTGATCGTCCTTACAAGATCCTGCTCGTGCAGGTGGGGACCCTGTCTGTCCTTCTCCCACCCCTCGTTTGGCGTGCCCGTTTTATTTATTTATTTATAGAAGCCGCGAGAACAAGGGACCGGCAGGCGGCGGCGTCGCAGGACGAGGCAGAAGAGAACGACGCGACAGAGGAGGAAGTGACAAGGGAGAGAACGACGAGAGTGGGACGACCGCGAGGTGGCATGAAGGTTGCAGCGAGAATCGGCGAGAGACTGCGAAGAGAGATAGGAAGAGGCAGACTCCCTAGGGTGGGCGACGGCTAGCGCACCACACACCTCTCCTTAAAATCCCTGTGTGGTGGCGGCACTTGGAGCACTTGGAGTGCAGTCGGTAACCTCACATCCAGGGCCGGTGAGCTGAGAAGCGCATCCAGCGGGCCGGATGATCGGGATCGGGCTACGGGCTAGAGAGCCCTGACCCCTAGCTAGGGGGGGGGCGCGCATTCGCAGGGCAAGGGCCTTAAAGTAAACACGGGTCTCCGAGGGTTAGTTCTGCGCTTTGGGTGACCCCAGCGGCGGAATTTTTCCCTCGCGCTGTGGGTCCCCCTAGCTGCGGAACGCCCCCTCTACTCGGAGCTAAAAGAATACTCTCCGAGGGTTAGCCCCGCGTACCAGGTTTCCCCTTAACTGCAGAACGCCCCCTCTACTCGGAGCTAGTGGACACGACACTAACTACTGATACGAGAATACATACCGCCCCCACGCAACTACTCGAAGATAATACGAGAATACGCAGCTGCGAGACGCCTATAAAGAAACAGCGAGGTAAAGTTCGGCGGCTATGATAAACCGAAAGTTGTCGTAAAACGCGGGCGAAAGCAAAGCAGAGGGCGGGCGCTTTCTGCCGCAGCGATGCCCGCAGCCTGTCGAGCAGCTTCCGCGGCGCACACATGCGCCGCGGGGTTGAACGACAGCCGCGCCTCTCGTGCCACGCGCGGCGACGCGCACCCTGCGCGCCAGTCGGCGCACTGGCAGTACTGCACCAGCCAGCACGGCGTGGAGCAATGCATCCAGGGCATTGTGTTGGGCGCCAGCCAGCATGCCTCAGCACAGAGCAAGAGCGCATGCTGCGCACCCTGGCGCAGCACCAGCTCGCCTCCAATCAGGCACTCTCACCACTGCACAGCCGCCCACGAGCGCCCGCAGCTGCACTGCTCAACGCTCAAGCTCAGGAGCCTCCCCTTGTTGTCACAGCTTTGTGCAGTGCAGCGTGCGAGCAGCGCAGCGCCAGGCAGACCCGTGGCACGCCCGGGCGGCTGTGGGACGGAGGCCCGCCGAGCGAGTGCGAGCCGCATCGGCGGCCATGTCTCCCGCAGCCGCGAGCGAGCGGTGCAAAGAGGCAGCGTCGCGCATGCTTTTCCGTAACGGTCGCGGACACACTCCTTTCTTATGCGGCGTGCCGTCCTCCCATCCCTCCCTTGGGTTGTCTGTTTTCTTTCTTTCTTTCTTCACTCCCTTCACCAAGCGATGGAGACGCGTTCCGGCCCTATGCGCATGTCTTGTCGCCCTAGGGGCTCGGGCCCCGGCCTGAACTCCTCACTGCACTGTTGCAGAATGTCCCCTTGTAAGAGAGAGATTTTTATTCTCTTCTCTCCTTGTAATGTAAATAAATAAATACAACGGACATCCCAAGCTATGAATAGTAGGATCTTGTCACAGGTATGGTAAATTTCCGGAAATTTCTCCTTCCGAACAAGCCTGTCATATTTCTCAAAATATTTCGGGAAATCTACGTTTGCCCCAAGGGGTCCAGCATCGGCACGGCCCCTGGCACCGCGGCCCTTGCCGCGCTGCTGCTGCCCACGCTTCCTGCCCGGGTTAGGGACAGTGAAGGAGCAGCCGCGCACTCCGCCGCCGCTGACCTTTTTGTTTTCTTGCGCTTTCTCTTTTGGTTGGCCCGCCGGGAAACTTCCAAGAACATTTGCCTTTCGCCATGAGATCCCGCTCTGGGGTCCTGCTCGCCTTCGCCACTGCCGCCGCTGCCTTCGCGCCGGCCCAGCTGCAGCAGCCTCGGCTCTCGTCCGCGACCGCGCCAGCCCTCTTGCCGGCGCGGCCGCTTGCTGCGACGCGGCCGCTTGTTGCGACGCGACCAGCTCGGCATGCGCAGCCTGCAATGTTCCTCGGCGTCCGCAAGGCGCTGATCTCGGTGCCGGTGCTGTACGTGCTGATGAGCCTCAACGAGTACGCCACCCACCGCTGGTATCAGCACGAGGAGTTTAACCGCAACCACGCCTTCAACCGGTGAGCCACTTCCGAGACACCTCTGGCACACGCCTGCGACACCCACCACAACCACGGACGTGACGATCCGACGAAAGCCGCCACCTCGCGCTCGCATCCGCCGCCCACCTCCCTCCGCTCCCGCCCCGTCGCGCAGCTTCTTCCAGCGGCTGCTGTCGGTGCTCAAGAACAGGCCGATGCGGCTGCCGGACGGGAGGGCCAACCTGGTCAAGCTCAAGGGCGGGGGACACGTCGAGGCGCGAGACACAGCCGAGAGAGAGAGGGCCGGGATCGCCTCGACCGGGATCGCCTCGACCGCGCCAAGGGCAGCCGCCGTGTCGAGACGCGCAGTCGATCCTGTTCGCGCTTGCTTGCGCCGCCCCGCCGCCGCCGCTGCTCACCGCCGCCGCTCACCGCCGCCTGCGCTCTCGCCTCCGCTGGCTCTGCTCCCCCGGCCTCACCGGTGCCGCCCCCGCCGCCGCGCAGCACCACGCCGAGACGTACGACGACATGTCCCTCAAGAAGGACAAGCGCTGGCGGCAGACCAAGGCGAACAGCCCTCGGGACTCGGGTGTCTGCTGGGCTGTCGCTTGGATGCGTCCGTGACGCATCCAGCGGCGCTGGCCACAGGCGGCCGCTTCGCTCGACTCGGACATTGCTCGCGGCACCGCCTTCTCGTGGGCGGTCACCGGGATGATGACGGTCCAGGTGCGGGAGGCACTTCCAGTCACGTCCAGCGCACGCACGCAACCCACCGCGAGGGCGGTGCACCCTCTTGGAGCCTCGTGGAGGGCTCGAGGGGTCGGAAAGAGGCTCCCGTCTCCGCTGCAAGAGTCGCTCGCGGCAACCGGCCGCAGCCGCACTGCCGTGTGTCTCTCACCCACCTTTGTGCGCAGATGCTGCCGAGCGCGCTGCCCGTGTTTGCGCTGCTCGGATTTGGACTGCTCGAGACGCTTGCAGTGCTTCTGCCGGGCATGCTGGTGCCGCGCCGCCGGGTGCGGGGCATGCTCCAACCGCGGGGCCTCTTCACGGCTCTGAATGTGGACAGGTGCACGCGCTGGTGTGGAACATGCTCCACCCGCCCATGCACGGCTTGCCGCCAGTCAAGCTGAAGTATGGCGCGCCGCGCTCGTCTCCTTTGGCGCATGCCCCGCCACACCGCGGACTGAGGGGAGGTGCGCGGTGGCGGTGGTTAGGCGCGCCTAGCTGGCCGCTGGAGGGGCTGCGCGACACGGCCTACTTCAAGTACATCTACGAGAACCACCAGGGCCACCACGTCCTCGGCGGCCAGGCCAACTACAATGTGCGCACGCCCAGCGCCGCCCACGCGCCTCGTGCCCCGCCGCGACGGCGCGTCACGCGGAGCGGCTGTCTCGCCAGGTCTGCTGCCCGCTCACCGACCACCTGCTTGGCACGTACGTCCCGACCGCCACGTGGGTCAAGCGGATGCGTAAGGTGCCCGGCCCCGAGGGCGAGCGGTGGGGCATCCCGGTCGAGCCGAAGGGCGTGCCGCAGGCGCCGATTATTGCGGCGGGCAAGGCCACCGAGCGGGACTTCACGCCGACCGCGCTCCTCAACGCGCCCGAGCCCGCCTGAAGAAGGGGGGGCGCGAGTAGAGAGGAGCGGTGGGGGGCAAGGCGGTAGAGCCGCCGCCGGGCGTCTGCACTTCCGCTCGTGGCGCGCTCTTTTCGTCCCCACCGACTGACTGCGGTCTGCGGACGACATTTTGGACGATCGTCAGAACACGCATTAATTACCGCGCTGCTGTTGGTTTTGGTTTTCGCAGTCCATCAAAAATGAAATGAAAAAACGGCGGCCGCGCGGGCATGTGGGCAACGGGCGCGGGCGCGTCCACTCCACGGACCACACACTCTATGGACGATCTGGTCTCGTGCTCGTGCGGGCGGGTCTCGCCTGCTATCTGGCCTCCACACTAAAAACGGGGACTCTAGCAGCGGCCGCGAATACTGAAGAGGGAATACCAATACATGAACCACGTCAAGTTCCTGTAGGCGGTCCCTCCCATGCGCTCTCTCCTTCCTGGTCCGTCATGCTGCCGATCGCACTTTTTGCACATTGCAGCTCCCGGTCCCACCCTCCAGCGCCGCCACACGCACAACATGTTGCCTCAGCGCCCGCCGAGCAACGGATCCTTATCCTCGCAGCAAGGCAGAGGTCCGAAGAGCGACCTCCGCCCACCGAGCATAGGGCCGATCCCACCGTCGGGGCAAGGGAGGCACACTGCTGATGGAGGTGCTGGCGGGGGGAGCGGGGAAGGAAACACATATGGCAAGGGATCGACCGGAGTGGGGGGTTCTTCGTACGAGAGATACGACTCGACGAGCTTCCGTTCTTCAGCCCGCCTGCAGCAACGGGGAGCAATTTTGGCCGACCATCGTCGTGCTCGAGCTTCACTGCTGTTCCCGCAGCCAGCTGAAAGCATACGAACCGTGGGGAAATGCGAGGGCGGCAAGAGGGAGGGGGGGCGCGGGCGAGGCGAACCTGTTTTCGGCGAAATGGAGGTTTGGGTTGCTATCCGCCTTCTCTGCGGCCTTCGCTGGCGCGCCGAGCACAGCGGCAGCAAGCGAGGCGGCCAGCATATATTCGGCCCGGGGCACAGTCAGTGCAGCCATCCTCCGGAGCATGGCTGGTGATAATTCGATGGCAGCCGTCCGCCGCCCCCGCCACACGCACAAATGGCTGCGCGCTTGCCGCCCCCGGCCTCGCGGGACGGCTGCCATTGGCTGCCATCGAATTATCACCAGCCATGGCTCTGGAGGACGGCTGCAATCTCTGTGCCACAGCCATAGTAGATGGCTGAAATGGCTGAAATGGCTGTCCCCCAGCCATCTTACCCAAGATGGCTGCGATGTAGCCAGCTCAGCCAAGAGGGCTCACCTCGAGGCGGGCGGTAACCGGTTATGTATGGCTGCGGTAGTGCGTCTCCAGCCATGTCTACTAAGGATGGCTGCCGTGTGTGTGTTGCAGCCATCGGGCTGAAGGATGTGGCTGCACTGTAGCTAGCTCAGCCATCCTTAGGTAAGATGCCTGTGTAGGAGACAGCACAGCCATAGTGCGCTTACATTCCGAGGTTAGCCGTTTGTGAAGAGAGACGCACGAGACCGCGCTCTCTCTTGTACCGAGCGCGCTTGTGCGCGAGCCGCAGCCGGAAGTGGATCTGGTAGCATGCGAGCGCGAAAACCTCTGGTGCACGATGATGCCTTCTTCGCCGCCGGAGGTGCCAGAGAAGGCGCTAGAGAAGGCGCTAGCACGCGTCGTAGAGGCGTTAGTGGCTGGGCGAGGCGACGAAGCGGTGCTGCTGGCGTGGCTTGATTGCGGCGGGCGGGTCAACGCGACTTGCGGGGAGGGCGAGATGAGTGGCGTCACTGTGCTGATGCTCGCCGCCGGCAACGGCCACGAGCGGGTGGTCGAGCTGCTGCTGCAGCGCGGCGCGGAGATCAACTTGCAGACCTGCAAAGGCGGCACCGCGCTGATGGCCGCCGCCCAGCATGGCCACGAGCGCGTGGTCGAGCTGCTGCTGCAGCGCGGCGCGGAGATCAACTTGCATACCAGCGACGGCTACACCGCGCTGATGGGCGCCGCCGGCAAGGGCCACCCCGCCGTCGTCCTCCGCCTCCTTCGCGCGGGCGCAGATACAGCGGTGCGCTCTGAGGACGGCAAGACAGCGCTGCAGTATGCCAAGGAGGAGGGCCACGCAGCCAGCGTCGGCGCCTTCCGGCAGCACATCGAGGAGGTGACTGCGAGCCAGCGCGAGGCGGCGGCGGGCGGTGCGGGCGGCGCTTCCTCGGGCGAGGCGGCGGCGGGAGCGAGGGCCGCAGCCTCTTCCGGCTCGCCGGGCAGGCTTTCCGAAGAGGCCAGGCGCCTCGAGGCGGGGATAGCGGCTGCGCGAGGCGACGAGGCGGCGGTGCTGGCGTGGCTTGACAGCGGCGGGCGGGTCAACGCGACTTGCCGGGCAGGCGATGCGAGCGGCGTCACCGCGCTGATGCTTGCCGCCCAGAAGGGCCAAGAGGGGGTGGTCGAGCTGCTGCTGCAGCGCGGCGCGGAGATCAACAAGCAGGACGGCAACGGCTACACCGCGCTGATGGACGCCGCCGGCAACGGCCACGAGCGGGTGGTCGAGCTGCTGCTGCAGCGCGGCGCGGAGATCAACATGCAGAACTGCAGAGGCAACACCGCGCTGATGTTCGCCGCCGGCAGCGGCCACGAGCGGGTGATCGACCTGCTGCTGCGGCGCGGCGCGGAGATCAACTTGCAGGACAGCGGAGGCAACACCGCGCTGATGGACGCCGCCGGCAGCGGCCACGAGCGGGTGATCGACTTGCTGCTGCGGCACGGCGCGGAGATCAACCAGAAGGACAGCGAGGGCGGCACCGCGCTGATGGCCGCCGCCAAGCGCAACCAATCCGCCGTCGTGATCTTCCTGCTGCGGGCGGGCGCAGACGCAGCGTTGTGCTCTGCGAGCGGCAAGACGGCGCTGCAGGTGGCCAAGAAGCAGGGCCACGCCGAGTGCGTGCGCGCCCTCGAGGAGCATGCGGCGGCGGAGGCGGAGGCGGAGGCAACGGCGAGGGGGGCGGAGAGAGCGGCGGCGGAGGCGGAGGCGGCGCGGCATGCCGAGGCGCTGCTGGCGGAGGAGGAGAAGGAGAAGGAGGCGGAGCGCGCCAAGGAGAGCAAGACGGGCAACAAGAAGAAGAAGAAGGGGAAGGGCGGCGGAGGCGGCGCTGGGCCGTCGCGGGAGCCCGAGGATGAGGCAGCGCTGGCGGCGGGAGAGGAGGCGGAGTTGGCGGCGGCGCTCGAGGAGAGCGCGAGGCTGGAGGAGGAGAGGCGGGCGCCCGACGAGCAGGTGTCGTCCTCTTTGGCTGCAGAGAGGCCGCCTTCGGTGGAGGAGGAGGAGCCACCAGCCGACTTCGTCTGCCCGATCACGACCGAGGTCATGAGCGACCCGGTGATGGCGGCCGATGGGCATGCTTACGAGCGGACGGCGATCGAGCGCTGGCTCGCGACAAAGTCGACGAGCCCTCTGACGGGCGGCGAGCTCGAGCACCCATACCTCACCCCCAATTACATGCTGCGCCGGATGATCCGGGACTGGGACGGGGCGCGGAAGGCAGCGTGACCGGGCTCGTAATCGCGCCCCATCCCTCGACCCCATCCCAGGGGTGTGCATGCGGACTGTACCTCACAGTTGTGACGCGGGAGCGGCGTATACGACCGTACGAGGGAAGCACACGGCGTCCTGTGAGCGACACGCCGTACGCATCCATGATCCAAGTAAGACGTCCATTTAAAGCCGTAAGCGCAACGAAACCAACGATTATTTTTGCTCTATCGCGCGTCCCCCGTTATGCGGGGGGACAAGAAACCGCATCCCGATGTCGAGCGTGGAGCGAGGAATATGATCTAGCTCAGATCTTAGCTCGGTCGTCGTAAAATCCCTGGTGGCGGCGTGCCGGCTGCCGCGTCCCCAATTCACTCTCTCTGACACGCTAATCTTGAAAACGCGTCCAACGGAGCTCCGTGTTGCTCCCAGCGGAATCCCCCGCGCTTCCTGCGGCCATGGCCGATGATACTAGTATGAGAGGTCATCTGGATACCGCGAGCGCGACTCAACTCGCCGACGTCGTCCGATGATTGTGCCTCAAAGTCAGCCTCCGGAGGCTATCGTGGGGTCGAGCCGGCGGTAGCCGTGACATGTGGTTCCACCACCCCTCGCAGGCTTTGCCTCTGACCGCCACCGTTCCCAGGCTGCCTAATGGGATGGAAAGGAAGGCTGGGCGAGCGTATAGAAGCGTGCTCGACCTCGTCGTGGCAACCTGTACGGCAGCGCTGGCAGGCGCGATGAGCGTCGTGCCACTTGACCCAAGACGGGTCGCAGGCGTCGTACCGAGCGTGTCGAGACCGTGTCCTGATGTGATCTGCACGGGTGAGTCACGTCGGCGTCAAAGGAGCGACGTGCGACCTGTCAGAGCTTGATCTCCGATCTCAGCGGCGTCGAGTCGTCTCCGGCGGCGACAATTTGGTACATCTCCAGGACGCGCAGAGGCAGCTGCGATCCCGCCGAGTGGACGGTGGCACACCGCGCCACCTGCTGTGTGCCGCCGTCTACTCGGCGGGGTCGCAGCTGCCTCTGGAAGGCACCGAGAGGTACCAAATGGCGCAAATGGTCAAATCAAGGTTTTGTAACGCGAGCTGTGCCACAGTGAATGGAACTAGCCCATCCCTCCCTTTGTCTCTTTTCTACGGCTCCGGTGGTGAGCCGGTGTGTGTGCCAGTCCGCGCCAGTCCGCGCCCTTGTCGTGCCAGTGTGCTGTGAGAGAGGCTTGTATTTTATAAGAATTCTTCTCTGGCAGACAGAGCAGCGGCCGCCCAGGCGGGCCGGCCGAGAGCAAAAAGAGTACACGTGGCGCAGCCCTGCTGCGACTCCGGCTCCGCACACTCGCACACCCCGCAGCCACCGCCCCTCACAACCAAAACAGATTCTCATCTCTATCTCGCCGGCGCCTCCACGTGTGCGTCTTGAAGACGCTGTGGGTCGACCTCGGCCTCCGCGCCGCTCGAACCTCTGCTCACTCCCTCCGCATCGTCCTCTGGCCACAGCTCCGGCGCCGCCTTCGCCTCCTTGCGCGTCATCTCGAGCAGCGTCTTTGGCAGCGACTCCTCGGCCGCCTGGTAGCACGGCCCGAGCGAGGGCGAGAACGACCAGTGGCCGAGGCCGATGTCGACGCTGCGGTTGCGCGTCTGCACGCCCTCCGTCCGCTCGAAGAGCTCCGCGAGCCACTTCCCGTGCTCCGGCGGGCAGCCTACTCGCAGCGGCGCGGCTGAAATGGAGGGCGCCACAACGCAGGGCGGCGGCTGACCCGAGGGCGCGATGCCGGGGCTGCCGTCATCGTGCGCCCACCACACCGCCACGTGCTTGGTCCGGATGTGCCGCGGGTCGAAGCCCCACAGGGTGTTGGTGGCGTAGCACGTCATCTCGTACCCTTGCCCCACGTAGCCGCGCGCTCCCGTCCGCTTCTGATCCTCGGCGACCATCGGCAGCACCCACGGCCTCTCCTCGGCGAGCTTTGGCCAGATCATGTGCCCTATCGCCATGGGCGGGGACGCAAACGGCAGCAGGTTGGTCACGTCGGCGAGCGTAAAGTTCCACGCGGCGTGCCACTCGCGCGGGTCGTTGTTCCGCACGAGGAAGAGGTCGTCCGCGTCGCACCGGAAGCCGAGCTCATCGCACAGCGGCGTCGACAGGTAGGGGCAGTTGAGTCCGAGGCCGATGCAGCGGTGCTCGGCGTGGTTGGGGCCTAGACAGGAACCGCGGCGAATCCAGACGGGGAGCTCGCGAGCAGGCCTCGAGGCACGACAGCTGGGCGCGCCAAAGTACCACGCCACGGCGAGCGCGTGAGAGGTGCCGAGGCTGTGGCCGTCCACCAAGAACTCGTCGACCCCCTCCGCCCACAGGATGGGCGCGAGGTCGTCGCGCGGAAAGTTGGCGATTCGGCGGTCCGGCTGCACAGAGAGGGCGGACGCGGTGAGAGGATGAGTTTCGCTAAGAGGCCAGCTCTCCTCAGCCCGCCTGGATGTCGCTGTAGCCCGAGTTGGGCATGGTGGGGGCGATGCCCCTGATGTTGAGATGCTTGAACATCTCGGCGTTCCAGGTGCACATGAGCCCGCCAGTGCTGGTCGCGCCGTGCATCTGAACCATGACTGTGGCGTCCTCCCTATTGCTGCCGTACACAAGGTACTCGACCACCTGTGTGAGGTTGATGAGTGCGTTAGGACGCCACAAGTCATGCATCTGAACCACGACAGTGGCCCACCCGCCCGTCCTTCGTGGTGACATGCCGTCCAAAGCCGCCCAGTCGCTCGGCCGACGCGCGCTGCTCGTCCTCGCTAAAGGGTAGCTGCCCCCGCTCCTTGCGGTAGGTGCCGTAAACGAGCACCGAGGCGCAGAGCAGCGCCGGGCCGCCGAGCAGCGCCTTGAGCAAACCGTCAGTGCGCTTGACCAGCGCGACGAGGCTGATGGTCGTCAGGCCGAGCCAGGTAACGAGCCCGCGCTTGAAGGCGGTGCGGGAGGGCGGCGCAAACCTGCGGGTCCAGTTGAGCGAGACGCGAGAGCTCATATGCACACATGTATCAGCGATTGTCGGCCTTTCGAGCCCATTGCGCGGCGCTGAGTTTCTTCTTTTCGCTCCGAAAGTGGCTCCTGTGCTCCTTCCAATGTGCATGGCGATCGCGACCGCGAGGTGGTGCGAGACGCGGCGTGGGAGCGGATCCGCCCGGTGGAGGAGGCGGGGAAGATGAGGGAATGGGACTGGGGGAGTGAGCGGCTTGCGGTTGCCGAGTGAATTGGTTGGAATCTGCCTTTTGTTGTTGTTGTAACGCGAGAGAGTATAAATAAATAAATAAATAAAACGGACATCCCAAGGGGGGTTCCGCTGCTAGGGGAAACCCGGAGCGCAGAGCTAACCCTTGAGCACTTGAGCACTGGATAGGTAGGGTCGGTTCCGCATGGTACGGGACCCCTCGGAGACCCGTGTTTACTTTACGGCCCTTTCCCTGCGAACGCGCACCCCCCAGGGCTAGGGCTCTCTTGCCCGCAACCCGATCCCGATCATCCGGCCCGCTGGGTGCGCTCCTCAGCTCCCCGGCCCTGGATGTGAGGTTGCCGACTGCACTCCAAGTGCTCCAAGTGCTCCAAGCTAGGGCTGGGTCGAGGACAGACACGTCCCCACCTTTGCAGGATTTTGCAAAAGCGAGGGGGGAGGGCGCATCGCCGCGCGGAGAGGGCTGGGCACAGGGCACAGGGGATCTCTCTCGCATAGGATACAGTCTGTTGCGGGCATTAAGAAAACAGGGCATTAAGAAACCACAGCGCGCCGCAGGCGCGGCCCCAAGAAAGGGCCCACACACGAGTGTGAACAGGAGCCCCGCTCAAATTTCCTCTTCGCCTGCGGCGCGCGCACTTGTCATTTTGCCTAAGTCTGCGGTGTTCTGGGCGGTGTGGATGGAGGTGTGTGCGTCTTCCTGTCATCCCAAGACTGCTGACTGGCGCATCGGTCCAGCGCTTCCTTATTGTCATTTTACCTAAAAATTCGCCTAGATCCCGGCTGACCTGGGGTGCCGGCCGAAGCTAAGAAACCACGGCGTGGGGTGGGTGGGGTGGGTGGAAAGGCTTAGAAACGGCGGCGTGCCGCGGGTATCCTGTTTTCTTAATGCCCGCAACAGACTGTATGCACTCGGCGGCACGAGGGCAGGGCTGGGCGTCCTATTTGTGCTCCCCCCTGGACCCCTCGCTCTCTGGCACTATCCATCTGACCACTCATCTGAGAAACCCTCCTTATCAGCTGGTCAGCCGCCATGTGGGCCTCCGGGCCTGCTACGGCGGCGCGGCCGGTTGAGGCCGGGCTCGGCCCGGCCCGCGACGGCTGGCCGCCGACGAGCGCGCTCGCGCTGCTCGTCAAGATGGCGGCGGTGGCGATTGCGGCGACAAAAGTGCAGGCGTACAGCGCTCAGGCGCCTGTCGTCTGTCGTCTGTTGTCGCATTTCGCACACGCGCGCGCCGCGCGACCCGCGTCGCTCCGCGAGGGCATGAGCCTTCCGCGATTCGATCCCGCAGCCAAAAGCTGCTCGCTCGAACCGCGGCCGACTCCGCCATCGCGGCCGCAGCTGTTGAGCTCTCCAGAAGACTGGTGCCTCAAAGCGAGATCACCCGAGAGCAGCTGAGCCTGCCTCTGGCCTCGCCTCCCTCTCCTCCAGGCATTCGTGGGACGTGGCATCCTATGGGTCGTCCAGAGTATCGACCTCTGGCTTGTCAGCCGCCCCACCGAGGGCACCATGAAGTACAGCGATCGCCACCTTGCTGGCCTCTCCGCAATTACCCCCGACCGCGTCGAACTCATCGGCGCGGGCTCTCTCGGCTACGGCCTACGGGACCGGCCCCAGCTTCGGCTGAGGGCGAACAAGCTGCCGAGCCCAAATCACTGTGAGAGTCGTGATTTCTTGTTGGTTTCCTAAAATCTCTCTCTCATCTGCGGGGCTTGGCGAGCGGCCGCGCTGCGGGGCAGGGCTGGTGAGAATGGGCTCTGGCCACTCGCCCGTGCGGGTGTAACCGCGCATCAGTCGGACAGAGGCCTCGAGCCCTCGACCGCCCCTCGCGGCAAGCTCTCTAGCATCTCGAGCAGCTCGCCCGCCGCCATCGCCGCCTCGAACTGCTCCCTCATGCCGAGCGCGCCGCAGACCCTACGTACCGCCTCTTGCTGCACCTCGTCATGGAGGTTGCATCGCTTGTTTATTTCTCTCTTTTTTGGGGGGGGGGGGCGACCGAGTTTCGTTTCGACCGAGTTTCCCTCCTTTCCTGGCCGACCAAGGACCCGACGCAGCCCGACTATATCCAAACGTATGCCGCGCATCGCTCGCCTCGTCGCCGTCGCCGGCCTCGCCCTGGTTGGCTCTGCGCCCGTCCCGGAGGAGCAGCCCATCGCCGCTGCCGCTGCCGTCCAAGCTGCCGCCACAGCCGCTCCTGACGAGAAGATCTTCCCCATCGCCGCCGCCGGCATCGCCATCGCCTCGCAGCTTCCCGAAGAGCAGCAGCAGGCCATCCTCGACTTTATCGACCCGGCTAAGGTCAACCCGGAGACCGTGTCGGACCTGATCTCGCTCGTCACTCCAACGGAAGCGGAGAGCGACATCCGCGACGCTGTCAACGACCTCCACGGCCTGCTCGTTCTCATGCACAGCCATGGCTTCGTCGCCCCGGGCGAGGGAGCGTGGGCGGCCGGCCTCGCCGACACGCTCACCCAGTCTGTGAAATGGTTCGAGGATCACGTCGAGACGCACGTCGAGAGCGAGCTCATCAAACCCGCAGAGGCTGCCCTCGCTGACGCCGGGCTCGAGGTCGAGCTCACAGGCATTGTGCCGGCCGTCAAGGACCAGTTCAAAATGCTCACCGAGCTGCTCCTAACCGCCTCGACGCTCCTGAAGGGCGAGCTTCCGACGCACGAGCAGGTCAGCGCGCTCATCATCTCGTCAGGCTTCGTGCCTGACGAGGCGACCAAGGACATCAAGGAGGCGGTGGAGGACCTGCACGAGCTGCTGACCGAGCTGGTGTCCAGCGGCTTCGTGCCTCCGGGTGACGGGGCCTGGGCGGCGGGCCTGTCCGACGCCATCACCAAGGGGCTGGACTGGTCTGACACCCTAGATGCTGAACCTAGACCCCTCAACTCCCGAGAAGGCCGCCGAACTTGAGCACTTGAGCACGAGATGGGGTCGATTCCGCCGGACTCACGCCCCGACTTTATGACGCAGGTTCGACGCCCACGTCAAGGACGAGCTCACCGAGCAGCTCATCGACCCCGCCTCGGCGGAGCTCGAGCTCGACCTTTCCGGCCTCGTCCCCGCGATCGAGTCGCAGTTCGCCACGATTGCAGAGATGCTCTCTGCCTTTGCGAGCATGGCCGCGCCGGCAGCGGACCCGCAGGCGTGAGGAGCGCGAATGCGCGCCGCCTCTCTTGGCACGACGAACGTATTTGCCTTCAAGCTTGCCACCGAGCTGACGAGCGAGTAGGCTGGGGACGTGGCCTGAGTGGCGTAGTGCCGTACGCTCACTCGGGATGTGTGGCAGCCCAGCTGGTGCCAGTTGTGGTCGTGGTGGCCAGCGAACTTGAAAAGCTATGAGTGCATGACTCGAGCGTGTGGCCGGTCCAGTCGGTGTTTAAAGTGGCCCTTTGCATGTGTACAGTACTCCTTAGTTGTCGGTCTAAAGACACAAACGACGACCAAGGACCCCAATAAATACGGGCGACCCGGGACTGCGGCACTCTTGGCTCACAATCCTGCGCACCGGCATGCCGCGTCATAAATAGCTCCGCCGCTTCGATAGGTTACATGCCACTCGGCGAGCAGCCACCGTGCGCATTTCCAAACGCTAGCGCCCCTGACGCCTCACGCCACCTACGGCTCTCTGGGCGGCCACCTTTCAGGCGACACTGCTCGTCTTGAAGCCCGCCACGGCACCATCAGCCAGGACCACCATCAACCTTGGCGGGCCGGGGAGGGGGGGGGGGGGGCGACGCTGGTCAGTTTGTGTGATATAGCGCCGCCTCCATCCTTCAATCTAGCACTGGTCTATCTCAATGTGGCACATCTGGGCGCTTGCAACCCTCCCGCTCTCCGGTCGACTCGCATGACGATGGCTGTTTGGTTGTATCTCTCGTGTGCCGGGTTGATGATCCGCACGATGTCGCCGCGCTTGAAGGACCGCGAGGCGCACGCCAGGCACGTTTCCTCCATCCCCTGCGGGGCCGGGCTCGGTGCCCCCCCCCGCGGCTGTGGCAATGCGACTCTCCTGATCGACGGACGCGCGAATTGGAGATTCGATAGTTCGGGACAGATATTCATCGGGCTAATCGCGGGCTAATGAGTAGCAGGCGAAGGGGGGAATCGAAAGGGGGGAAGGTTGCGACGCCGGGTCGGTGCGTGCGTGTCGGTCAACACATTCATTGCGAGTCGTCGTGCACGGCCAACAAACAACACGATGATCACGGCCTCCATCCATCGCGTTGTGGACTGCAATGCTCATCAGCCATGGAGGTCGTGGCGAGGCGAATTCACCTTCGATCGAAAGGTTCCTCTTTACCCGCTTTCTTCCTTTGCCCCCCGGGGGGCCACTGACTGCTGAGGAGCTGAGCGTCCATCCCCAGGCAGATCAAACGAGATTTTCTTTTCTTCCATTGGGATTCGGCCGGGGGGGGCCCAGCCGACCCGCTGTGAACCTCGCGGGGGCTCGGGTCTTGCTCACGCTGCTCCTCCCTGGGACTCTTCCCACAGGAGCAGGTGTGAAGCGGCTGCGGCAAAGCAGGGTTCCAACTTTTTCCGGGGTATGGTATGGTACGCTCGGCGGCGGGGGGGGGGGGGGTATGGTAGCCCTGTCCGGACGTTTTTTTTGCGGTATCTTGATGTATCTCTGCAATATCTGACCGTATCTCCCCGTATCTCCTTGCATCTCCTCGCATCTCCCCGTATCTCCCCGTATCTGCCCGTATCTGCCCGTATCCGCCCGTATCTCGTATCTCCCGGTATCTCCCGGTATCTCCCGGTATCTCCCGGTATCCCGCCATATCCCGCCATATCCCGCCATATCCCGCCATATCCCGCCATATCCCGCCGCGGATACCGCGAAAAAAAACCGTCCACACCAGGGATTATGGTCCTGACCGCCCAAGGCTAGCCCTACCATACCCCAAGCAGGTCTTCCAAGAGGCGGGGGGGAATGGTCTCGAGGTAGGTAGGTAGGTAGAAAGGTGAAGAACAGCCAGGCTCGGACTGGACACCAACGCGGTATGGGTGGACGCTAGACAGATGATGACGGCACGCACGAGCGACACACAGACACAAACAAGCTCACAAGACACACAGCCAGCGGGCTGCCACACACCCTGAGTCGGCTTACACATAACTCAAGGCCATATCCTCCCTGTCGCCCCCCCCAGCACTCCACGGTGCCAAGAGTACAAACAAGGGCACAACGACACAACAGACGACAGGAAGTGACATGCGAGGCTAGAGCAGGCGTGCTCTACCTCCAGCAATCTCTCCGGCCGGCGAGGCACGGACGAGACCGTGTGTGGGGTCTAGTGAGGTGTCTATGGACGCCCTCCTCAGAGGCTAGCTGCCTGCGGCTAGCCCTAATCTTGCACTCACAGGCGATGACAATCCAATGTATGAGTGTATGCGAGCAGAGGCGCGTGTGCTAAATCTAGGCCGCACGTCGTGGCACTATGACGAAGTTAGACGTGCGACCGCAGCGCGCCCGCCGCAGGCTCGGCGGTGCGCGCGTGTTAGCGAGAAACACGCGTTCGCCCCTGTCGTCTGTTGTGTTGTTGTGCCCTTGTTTGTTCCTTTTGGCACCTTGGAGTGCTGGGGGGGGCGACAGGAAGAATGTGGCCCCGAGTTATGTGTACGCCAACTCATGGTGTGTGGCAGCCACGCTGGCTGTGTGTCTTGTGAGCTTGTTTGTGTCTGTGTGTCGCTCGTGCGTGTCGTCATCATCTGTCTCGCGTCCACCCATACCGCGTTGGTGTCCAGTCCGAGCCTGACTGTTCTTCACCTTTCTACATACATACGAAAGAGAGAGCGCGATGACTGCTGGCGTACTTACCTCTTACGTACACCGGGAAGTCAACAGTGTCGCTCCCTACACAGCACCCTGCGCGCTGTCCACACTGCTCAATGGTGCCTAGGTTTGTAGGTAGCGGAGAGCGAGCAGGGCGTGGGGCGCTGCCCTCACTCATGCCCGCTCAGCCATGGCGGGGCAGCACGCACCGCCGCTGCAGCCTCCGCCGCCGCCGCCGTAGCCTCCACCCTCGCCGCCTGCTCTGCTGCGCGCGCCTGCCGCATCGCCTCCCTCTGCTCGCTCGCGGATGGCGGCGGCTCGGAGAGCAGCGAGTTAGCCACGGCGTCGGCAGTGTCCGCCGGGGTCGAAGCCGTCCTCCTCCTCATAGCTGCTGGCCTCGGACGGCCCTGCTGCGCATTGCGGCGGCGATTGCTGCGGTTGCGGCTCGAGCAGGCGGATGGTCCCACAGGTGCCGCGCACGCGCCAGCGCCGCCTCCTCGGCGGTGACGAAGTAGCCGAGGAAGAACCGCTTGCCGCCAACCCACACCCGCAGCTGGTACTTCTTGCTGCCTTGCTTCGGGCAGAAGCTCACGCCTTTGTAGCCTGTGCTGCTGCTGCTGCTGGCGACCAGAGTCATGCCCTCCCTCTCCGCCTGCCGGACTGCCTCGGCGCCAGCAGCAGAGGAAGGCACGGGTGGCGGCGGCGGCGCGATGAGATCGCTGGTGTCCCTGCCCGCCTCCCAGCGGGCGTAGAAGAGCGCGGCCTGCTCGGCGGTGGCGAAAAGGCCGAGGAAGACTTTCTTGCCGCCAGCTTTCACCCTCAGCAGGTACTTCTTGCTGCCGTGCTGCTTCGGGTGGTAGCAGACGCCTTTGTAGCCTGTGCTGCTGCCGCTGGCGACCAGAGTCAGGCCCTCCCTCTCCGCCTGCCGGACTGCCTCGGCGCCAGCGGCAGTGGGAGCAGAGCGGGTCTGCAGCAGCTTGGCGGCGTCGGCGCGGCCGTACTCTGAGCGAGCGTAGGCGGAGGCCGCCTCTTCGGCGGTGGCGAAGGAGCCGAGGTGGACTTGCTTGCCGCCATCCTTCACCTGCGCCACAAACTTCTTTTTGCTGCGGTCGTAGGTCACGTTCTTGTAGCCAGTCGTGTTCCTCTTGGTGATCAACACGAGGCGCTCGGAAGCCTGTGGCCCGCGACGAGTTCGCGCGAGCGGCGCCATGGTCAAAATGAAAAGAATTTGAGTTGTGCGCGCAGGTCGGCGTGGACGGGGCGAGGAACGCGCCGAGCGGGGCGCCGCCTCACCGGCCCAAGTTGCGGGTGGAGCCATGCCCGAGGTGGGTGCCGGAGACACCATACCACACCACCGAAAAGTTGGAACCCACGCATCCCGCAGTGATATGCTGTCGGTCTGGGCTTGCGCAATCACGGGCTACTCGGCTGTGATGAGCACGCCGGGCTGCCGTGCCTGCGCGTGGATGAGTACGCCGGGCAGCCGTGCCTGCGCGCGGATGAGCACGCCGGGAGAGCGCGCCGACCTGGGCGAGGACGGGCTCGCCGGGGCACAGTGGTCCCGAGCCAAATGGGCAACGGAGAGAGAGACGACCGATGACGGGGCGTGCTACATTGTCGAGGACGAGGACGCCCCGGATCCGTCCAAGCAGTGGTTCTTCTGCTCCGACCCGGCAGAGGACGACAGCATGCAGTGCGAGCTCGTGCCGGAGTGGATGGGAACAGCGCCTGACGGAGGGTGAGGGAGCGCACAGTCGCCCAAGCCACGCACGCATTTTCACTCCCGCATTGTTTGCGTGCCCAGGCACGCGGTCTGGCTCTGCTCGAAGCCAAAGGTGACGAAGTAGCCCCGCAGTCTCCTCCCGGAGCGCGCAGGTTGCAGTCGCTTGCCCTTGGCAAGCCGAGCTCTGTCGCGGTCCTGCGAGATCGCGCCTTGGCGCCGGATGGCCCTGGGCGAGCGTGTACGTTGTCGGTGTGTGAGAGCGCGAGCGTACATCTCCCTTCCCATGAGTACCGCCACACATGTCTCCGTCCGCATGTTCGATGTTGAGAGCGTGCGCTGCGCGTCCCTCTGCCTCTCTCGCTCTGTCTCTGCGCGTAGGTACTCATGCACAACTCGCTGCGGTGCCTCTCTCAGAGGGATTCGCCGTACAAAAACGAATACAAATGGAAGCGAGCGCGCACACGGGTCACGGCGTCTCGGCGCTCCGCTGGCGGTGGCGCTGCCCGCTGCGCCACCACCGGTGCACAGCGGGCCAGCCGCGCGCGCCCAAGAGTTGAGGCCCAGAGCGTGCAGGTCGGTATTATGGGATTTTTGAGGTCAGGACTCACCGCGCGCGCGGACACGACTGCCCGGCGGCGGCGCGTTATCTAATATCAAACTCGTGTCAGTCATCCGGCTGCGGCGTCACGCTGCGGATCGCCATCGCGGTGGATCTGCTGCGCGCCCCAACAAGCGACTGGGGCAGCTGCGGCGGAGGCTCGTCGGGACGGGGAGGCAGAGGGGCGAGGCCGGGCAGGGGGGGAGAGGAGGGTGCCCTCAGATCCTCGGTGAGGGCGGCCACCAGCTGGCGCACGCCGTCCAGCGAGAAGTGAGACATCGAAGTGGAGCCGTCGGAGATGTCCACCGTGACGACAGGCGGGAGGGCGGAGGGCTCACTTCCTAGCGGGTCGATCTCCGACGCCGCCTGAGATGGCAAGCGCGCCACGCTGCAACTGAGCCACACTAGCTGTGTGTCTGTGCAACGGTACACGCCGACTCTCGGAGCGGCTAGCGGAGCGGCGCACACCCGTCTTAGCTCCTCCACTTGCTCGCCTCGCACAGAGAGCATCCGTCCCGACACTTCGATCTGGATGCTCGCCTGCTCGCGGAGGAGGCAGGCCTGTCAGGAGACACCACACGCAGCACGGGCCGGCCCGAGGAGGCATAATGCGCGCCGCGCGCGAGCGACGCCCGAGCGGCCGAAGCATCATATTGTCCACAGCAACCTCACTGGTGGCGTCTGCAAGACCGCCGCGGCCGCCTGCTTCCCAACTCGGGTCGTCGGACCTCAGGTCGCATGCCGTCCCGTCGTTGGACCTTTCCTTGGACAGCAGCGACCTGAGCCCCGCCGACACGGCGCAGAGCGCGCAGGCAAGCGCGGCCAACGCTCCCGCCGCGTAGGCCAAGATCTCTGCTTCTCGGGATTGAGCAGATTCTCTGGCCAACTGTAGCAGCCACGAAGGGGGCGGCGAGACGTTCTCATCCTCCCCCGGGGGCTCGAAGATCATCCTCGAACGAAGCCCTATGTCGCGCGATCCGAGTGGGGCGCGACGCTGTTCACAGCCTTGTTATGAGAAGAAAATACGTCGTATGCGCTATGCGCTGGTCTGTGAGAGGTTGAGGTGCGAGCCCTGGAGAGGCCCTGGGGATGGGGGGAGACTACCCGCGGGCCTAGAAGGCCCGCGCGCAGGGGGGTGGGTTCACACACACGCTCTCTGGTTTGCGTTTGGGCGTGTGTGTGTTTGTTGGTTTGGCGCGGGCCGATTTGGCGGCGGCGGGTTGATGTCGTGGCGTCTCTCCCCCATTTTGCTCGAGAAGAAAATTCAATAGCACTTCCCTCACATCACCGCGCAGCCTCTGCTCCCCTTCTCGTCTCTCACCGCGGCCGGCACGTCCGGCTTCACGCCGAGCTGCTGCAGCTGCGAACGCAGCACCTGCACGCGCGCGGGCAGTAGACGGGTCAGAGTGGAGCTCGTTATCTCCGCAGGGTGCCAACATTTGTGCCTTTGTCTCGGCGTTGGCCTGCTTGAGCGCGGCCAGATACTGGTCGTACTGCTCTTTGGCGTGCGCCTGCACCTGGTTGGCGTATGCCGCCAGCTCCGCCTGCGAGATCTGGCCGTCGCCGTCCAAGTCCGCGGCCGCAAAGACGTCGCCCGCTGCGCCGCCGCCTGCGCCGCCGCGGCCGCCTGCTGCTGCTGCGCCGCCGCCAGCGATCAGCGCGGGCGAGACGCCTCCCCGCCGGAGCAGCTCCTGCTCCTTGCGCACAAGGGCGGCGTACTTCTGCTCGAGGGTGTCGAGCTTGTCGAGTACGCGGCTCAGGCCAGTCGGGTTGCCGCACTGGACGCATTCGGCACCGCAGCGCGGCTTCACCTTCTCGAACTTGTGCTCGTAGTCGGTGTAGAGGGTGAGCGCGTACTTGTGTTGCACGCCCGGCCGGTCGGTGTAGGGGATGACGATGTATTTACTCCCCTCGTCCGGCTCCAGCTGGCCTAGCTCGAGCCACTGCCCGTCGCCCCGCCTCAGCTCCGCCGTCTGCAGCACCTGCGGCGGCGCGGGCCCGTCCAGCTTGATGTGGTCCCCCTCGCCTAAGCCATGCCGTGGACATGTCATGGACAGTCAGGACGCAAACGCTTCACGCCCCCCCTCTCGCCCTTGCAGACGACGAAGCCGACGGTGGGGTAGTCTGGCTCCGTCTGCAGCCCGGCAACGTCGCGCATGTCCGTCTTGACATCGTGCAGCTCAAGGAAGAGGAAGCAGCGCGTCTTGTGCGGCAGCGTGATTTGGAACTGGCAATTCTTGGACCACTCGTCGACCGATCCTGTGAGCGGCCCACCGGCGCAATCCTCGTCTCCGAGCTGATTGCCCGGGCCGCCCGTCGACCACGCGTCGAGCAGCGTCGTCCGCCGCCAGTCCTCCTCGGGCTTGACCTCGGAGAAGCCAAAGTCGGGGATCCCTACTCAGGGTGGCAGTTGTGTGAGGAGACGCTGCCCGCGCACGGACGCTGGAAAGTGGCCGGAGGATGCCGTCGTCGTCGCGGTCGTCGGACAGGAGCGTGAGCTTGAAGAGCGACTCGCGGCCCGGCTCGAAGAGGAAGGGCATCAGGATGTAGGGCGTCTCGGATGACTTCTCAAAGGTGTACTCGACGGTCACCTGAGCGGTGGGCGGGTCCGCATCGCCATCGATAGGAAATGCGGCGGGCGTCTCCTTTGGCTCTGGAATGGCACCTGCCGCGAGAAGCGCGGCTCCTTGCAAAAGACAAAATCGCCGCCGTCCTCCTCGTCGCCATCCTTGAGCACGAGCTTTCGCCGCTTGTGGTCCGTGGGGTCCTCGTTGCCGCGAAAGATGTAGAAGCCTGTGGACAGCATGTGTGGGCGTCGGACGCGTCCCGGCCCCGCAAGCCGCCGATGCATGAAAATGATGGGAGCCGATGGCATTCGAATAGTGCCGGCCGTGGCCCGCCGACTTGCGCGCATCGGGCTGCGTGAGCTTGATGACGAGCTTGGTCTTTGGGCGCGTGATGTTGAGGATCCACTGGTTGTTGTTGCGCCATGAGATGAAGTTGGTGCAGCCGCCCGCCTGCGGAATGTGGCATGAGACACGTCTTATCGACGCGAGTAGAGGCTTGGGGCGGAGCCGCTGCGGCCGAATATGGCGCTGAAGGCGGAGCCATAGGTGGTCGCGGGATGGCTCGGACCGTCTCATCCATCCAGCGCGACTTGACGGCGAAGCGCGTCCAGAGGTCGTCGAGCATGCGGCACATGTACACCTTGGTGAAGTGCTTGCAAAAGTCGGCATACTCGATCCAGAAGGTGCCGTCGCTCGACGACTTGGAGAAGTGCAGCATCTGGCGCAGCCGCGAGTTCCACGCCGCAGAGTCGTCGGACCACTTGCCGTTCCACTCGGTCGCCTCCCCCGACTCGTCGAGCGGGATGCGCAGCCGCATGAGCTTGTTGTCCTCAAAGTCGCCCCCCGTCACCATGCAGTAGGTGCGGTTGACGAGGATCCCCTTCTTCTCGGTCTGCGGCCGCGGCTCGCCCTTGGTGGAGCAAGTGCAGCCCACCACGTGTTCCGTCTTCATCTTCTCCATCACCTCGTCCCACAGTCGCTCCGGGACCTCGCCCTTCGGGATCCACTGCTTTACGCCGCCTCGGTCCGCCTCATCCCGCGTGAGGTCGAACTTGTACCCAATGCCGCCCGTCAAGTCCTCGAGGCCCTGCGTCACCTATGGACGTGTGTGTCGTGGACGCGTGTCTGGACACGTGTCCCTCCCTGTCAACTCCTCGAGGCCCCGCTTCACCGTGCCGCCCTGCATCGCCTCGTAGCTGCCCGAGTACTTTGCAAACACCTTCTCCATGATCATCACCCAATACACTGACGGGTCCACGTTGCGTGCGAAGGCCGGCTTGCCGTCGGCCGTGCACGGGATGCGGTCGTCCACCAGAATCACCTGATAGCCGATGCGAGAGCCGTGACGCGACTACTAGACGCGTGGCGCGCGACTGCTTGGGGACCGCCTGCCAGTCGTCGTCAGAAAGTGGGTCGTCACGGTAAATCTTACAAACAAAGAAGCCCTTGTCCGCGTGCAGCTCCGACTCTCCAAAGAAGAAGCGGTCGAGCTGTTCGCGGTTGCCTATTGTTGACTCAGCGGCAGGTGACGATCCGATCTCTAGATAGCAGCGGCTGGATGATTGCGGTCGCCAGAGACGATGTTGATCGCGGAGAGAAGCCAGCGATTGTCGATGCCCGGGCCCTGGATCACATTCTCCACCTCCCAGTCGTTCTTGAAGAGCTTGGGCGTGTCGGTCCACTCGCGAGGCCGCCGCCACTGCGTCACGACAGGCATGCCAGCCACCGGCTTGCCCTGGTTGTACACGGCGGGCTGGTCTTCGCCCGCGGCGCTCCCCGGCGCCTTCGGGAAGTCCGGGTCCACAAAGAGCCCACCGTTGGCCGCCGCATTAGCCTCGGCGAAGGCGACAAGCTCCTTGTGCTTCTTCTTGACGTTGTCCGAGAGCGGCTGCCCCTCGATCGTCATCATCGGCACGTTCTCTTTCCACTTGTCAAGCCGCTGCGCCTCCTCGAGCTCCATACGCTGCGCGTGGCCAAGCTTGCCGTCATCGCCGAGCTCCTCGCGCGTCTTTGAAATGTCATGCTTCGCGGCGGGCGGCTCGATCGCGCTCCTGGTGCCGGCTCCTGGGCCAGCGATGCCCTGCGGCCGAGCGCGGTCGCCAAGATCGACGCCTCCTGTCGAGACGGAGCCACCTACTCGCGAGCTGAACCGTAACGCACTGCTCTTCATCACGCTGCCTGCGGAAACCAGGGCGCCGTTGAGCTGCTTGACGGTGATGGACGCGTCGGTGCTGTAGAGGGCGACAACGAAGGCGGCCTCCTGGCCCGGGGCAAAGGTGGAGGCGAGCAGCGTGTATGCGCCCGCCGCGGGCAGCGCGACCTCTGCCGACACCTCCTGCGTCCCAATCTCGAACTGCGATGCGCCGACCTGCTTCTGCCCGAGCTCCTCGTAAGGCCCCGAAACAAGGCCGCCGCCCGAGCCGAAGACGAGGAGGCCAATCGCGGGGGCGAGCGAGCTCGTCTGCTCCTGTGGGCAGGAGGGTTGAGGGGCGGGTGAAGGAGGGAAAATGGCCCACGTGGGGTGCTGTGCGAGGGGGAGAGGAGCAGCCGCCCGGTTCGCGCGCCTGGAGCGCCTTGGCGTCGGCGTCGCGCTGCTCAGCAGCTGCCTTTTGCGCCTCGGCCGCCAGCTGCACATGTGCCTCCTGGAGCCTCACCGCCTCAGCCGGTGCCACCTATTGACGTTGTCGTTCCAGGTAAGTTTGTGCAAACTGGCGTAGTCTGGGCAGGAGGGTTTCCAGGCGTCGCCTTGAGCGATAGGACTGCGACCAATGTGGTCGGCGCCGACACGCGAACCTCAAACTGCGGGTTCTGCGCCCACGTCTCGGGGTTGTTTGGGCATCCACCCGCAGTGCCCGCCTGGACCGACCACGCGCCAGACAAGCCTCGCTCGTGCCAGTCGCCCGAGGCGGGGAGCTGAGGGAGGCAAGGGGTGAAACTGGTGGGGAAGGGATCGGGTGAGGAGGTGATGGTAGCGATGGCGGTCAATGAGATCGGGGCGGCGAGTCTAGACATCGGTATTGTCTCGCACCGGCTCGAGGATGCAACCGGCTGGCGAGGCGGCGCTCAGGTGGAAAGGCATCTGCACGGCGGGCTCGTACGTGCATGGTACAGCGATGTACTCGACACCCGGCTCGAGCTCGGCCTCGAAGCAGACCTGTGGATGTGGCATGGACAGGTCAAAGACCTGGCCCCGGCTCGAATATGGTGAAAGGCCAACCTGCCGCGACTTGCCGAACCGGGAGCAGCCGAGCAGCTCCTCTTCGCGGAGGTACCGCTTGCGCCGCGCCGCTCCCTCGCCGCTGGAGGCCTTGAGGAGGTAAAGCCCGATGGCGTGCGGGTATGAGTCCGAGTCGAGGTTGCCGTCCAGCTCTGCGTCGGGCTGGGCGAGCGCGAGCAGCGCCGACGTCTTAGAGGCCACAGTGAGACGGTACTGTGGGTTGCAGCGCCAACGCGTGCCAGGTGCGCGTGAGACGCACCCTCCCGCGCTGGCCTGCGTCCACTCGCCGGCAAGTGTGGCGCGCGAGGTGTCCTCGTACATCCGGCACACGTAAACCTTGGTGAAGCCGGCGATAAAGTCGCCAAACGTCATCCAAAAGGTGCCGTCCTCCGGCGCACCCCCGAGGGCGGCGGCGGGCCCCTGCTGCGCAGCCCACTCGCTCGACCCGCTGCTCCACGCGCCACTCCACTGACAGAGGGGCACAACCCGGCCGTCTGCTCCGGGCTTGCCGTAGCAGACGCGCATCCGCACCATCTGCAGCCCCTCTGCCTCGCGCATCTCCACGACAGGGTGGACGAGGGGGCGGTACCTACACGCAGAGAGTCCACCACCGTGAAGAGACGACAGCCTCTTCCGCCGGAGGCTGGACGAAGGGTGTGTAACTGGTCGTCGGGCAGCGCTGCCACCTCCCCGTCGGCAGCGTGCTTCTTCTTGAAGGTTGCGCCGAGCAGATGGCCGGCTGAGAGCAGCCCAGAGAGGCGGGTCCACATCACTCCGGAGGTGACGTCCGCTGACGGTGTGACCTGCTGCTGCTTCTCGCCGAGAAAGGGACCGTCGCGGAGGTAGATCTTGTCTGAGTAGCCGCCGGTGAGGTCCTCAAGCGAGGCGCCCACCCGCCCGCCCGACATGGCCTCGTAGCAGCCGTACATCTTCGCGAGGCCTGCATACTCAGCGGGGTTGTGGACACGTTATGAACGCGCGTCCTGATTGGCACGGTGCAACCATATGTGTGCGGTGGGGGCTCACCTTTGAGTATGATTGCGACCGGCCCCTCGCGCGGCTCGCCCTCCGAGGAGTAGGCGAGCTGGCGCTTGCCGTGGCACGGGAGGAGATCGTCCACGACCACCGTTTGCCACCGCCCGTCCTTGAAGAAACGCAGCCCGTGCATCCCCGCGCCCTCCTGCGACCAAGCGAGCACGCGGCCGAGCAGCCCCGGCCGCGAGCGAACCATTGCAATAGCGCCGAGGATATGCCGATCCTCGAGGCCGTCGCGCGGGATGATCAGCGTGCCCGGCTTGCCATACGTCCCACCCAGGTCGCCGCCACCCGAGAGCGCGTGCAGGCGGGCCCACGCGTCAATCTTTTTTGAGCGCGCGGCAGGTGCGCCGGAGATGTAGAGCGTCTTCGAGTCTTTACCGGCGCAGTTGAAGGAGCCGTCCTCGTACACGGTCTTACCTCGGCCCTGCTGCTCTGCCAGCTCGGCAAGCGCAGACTTGATGGCGGGGTCGTCGCCAATGGATGCCGCCGCGCCGCTGCTGGCTTGCGCCGAGGGAGCCGCGGCTGGCTGTTTTGGTAGCGGCGTAGCCGACCGAGGGTGAGGCTCTAGCGTGAAGTCGCCGCCCTCGTGGCCGACGCCCAGGGTGAAATCTCCCTCCTGAGGCGCATCAGATACCGGGCTGCAAGAGCGCGTGGGTGGGAGCAGCGCAGTGCTCTGCTTACCTGCCCGGGCTCAAAGGTCGATGCCAGGATCACGTAGCACTCACCCTCTCCGAGCGGTGGGCAAGCAAAGGTGACCCGCTGCGCGGCGGAGGCCTTGTACTTTGACTTTGTGACGATCATAGAGCTGCTCATCGTCGGCCCGACTGGCACCCCCAGCTTCCCCTTGAGCACCACAAGGCCGATCGGCAGCAGCGCCTGCCCAGATGGCAGCGGCAGGGCGGTCGAGTGGTGCTCGGCGTGGCACGCGCGTGGCCACTTCGAGATACGAGTGCCCAGTTATCTCGCATCTATCGCGCGGGCGTCCGGCGCTTGCTTCTGCGACAGCTCGACGATGCAATCGCCGGCAGTAGAGGGGGCGAGGGTAAACTGCGGGTTGGCCGGCCATGTCGGGTGCTTTGGACACCCGCCCGTCAGCTCTGGGCCGCGCCAGCTGCCATCCACACTCTTCTCCGCCATGCGCCAACCGTCAGAAGTGTTGGTTGTAACTGAATTCACGACGTGCGTCCCTTCGCGAGCAGCCGCGCATCATGAATCGATGGGTCGCCTCCAGAGACCCGGCAGGGGTGATGGCGCCTGCGCCGTTGGTTGTGCTTGCAGCGGCCGCTTCGTCGGCGAGTCGCTCAGGGTGCAAACGCAGAGGGGCAGAGGAGGGCCTATGGGCCGGCGCTTGCGTGCCGCTAAATTATGACCTCAGTGGCCCGTACGCCTTCAACAGCGAAGATCCCAAGCGGTGCTGCTGCCCTGGCATCCCCCGGATTGAGAGGCGTCCAGTCACGGGCCCAATGATGCACGCCGACTACCCAAATGTGAAGGTTTGCCGCGATCCATCATTACACGCGCAGCCTCGCAGGACGCCCGCCTCCTCCACCTCCTCACCTGATCCACCGGGCGCGGCTCCGACCGCAGAGGGCTGGTTTCTGCTCGGACAGGGCGCTGCGCTTAAGAAGACAGCGCTGCCGCCCGCATCTGCACGGTCAACGGTCGCCATCGCGGTGCCGCTCCACCCACCGGCGTTTGCCTGGGGATGCGGGCTCCTCCACTCGGCAGCGACTCACGGCCGCCGCTACCTGGTCGTGCCTATCTTTTCGAGCAGGCTCGAGATGATGCGCTGGGAACGACGCCACGCCTTCCATCGCGCGACCGCCCTCCTTCTCTCCATCCCGGCAAGGGCGGTGAAAAATCTGGCGGCGGCCATGAAGCTGGCCGCCGTGCACCGCATCTTTGCGGATGCGGCATTCGTCACGCACGTTCTTGCCGTCGACGCAGACTCTGCGGTGACTGGCTCTGCCCTCGAGCCTGCCATTGCCGCATGGGAGAGGCGCGGGACAGTCGCAATCTGGCGGCAGTGCCCGGCCGGCACCACAGGCGGCGGGAGCAGGGCCGAAGCGCAGCCGGACCCAGGATCGAAGCTCGGCAAGGGTGGCGGCTGCAACGCGTTGGAGGCCCAGGTCACTCACGCCTCCTGCGCCGCCGTCGGTCTCGCGGTGCACTGGAGCACGCCGATCGACCTTGAACTCGCAAACGTGCAAAAGTGTGGCGATATATTCTACCATAGGCGCATGCTGGGTCCGCCCACCTCACTGACGCGCCCGTGTACGCCCGGCGGCACTTCCTGTCCTTTTGGGCGCGGCTGAGATGGGGGAAGGTTCGCGGGCGGGCGGACGTCAACCTTGCCTATCTCTGCTACCTGCACCACGAGGCGAACTGGACGCTCGCGCCAATAGCGGTCAACCCAGAAACACACGCGGGTTGCGGGCACCCGCTGGTGCACACGGTCTGGTCACGGCCAGCGTGCCGGCGCATTTCGCTTCGCTTCGGCCTCGACCAACGCCGCATCCACTCCGGGGCAAACGGGAGCGATCTGCGCGCCCACTCAGAGCCGGCAGCCCCGCCACAATGCTTTGCGCAAGTCCAGGCACCGAGCTATCTCAAGCTGCAGGACATCAGGTAGTAGTAGTAGAAGTATTTGTAGTAGGGACCCTAACGAGGGAGAGAAAGAACTAAAATACAACCAATCCTGTCAGGAAAGAGAAAGCGGACACAAAACAAGAAAACATGACAAAGCGGTCCCACGATTGCGGATGTGGGGACTACATGATAACTGAGAGACTATGGAGAGTTCACGTCATGACGGTTAGCCGCTGTCATGACGGTTAGCCGCTGTCATGACAGCTGCCAGCTGTCATACAGCAAACGACAGCGACAGTGACACCTACCTGTCACCAGCTGTCACCAGCTGTCACCAGCTGTCACCAGCTGTCACCAGCTGTCGTTGCTGCTGTCGTTGCTGCTGTCGTTGCTGCTGTCGTAACCATCCCCGACGGTCCAACTGTCACTGCTGCTGTAATTGCGCAGCTGTCATTCCTGCTGTCATTGCTGCTGTCATCGCTGTCGTTGCTGCTGCTGTGCTGTCATTGCTGCTGTCATTGCTGCTGTCATTGCTGCTGTCATTGCTGCTGTCATTGCTGCTGTCATGAGCACCCCCGCAGGACAGTGTGTGGTGCCACTAGCGAGAGAGACAGGACACTCAAGATATAGATGCATGCGCGCGAGACCGCTCACTCGCACGCCCGACGCCACATGAGAAACCCTCTCAACAGTAGCCACGCACGCTCAGCAGCAGCGGGCGTGAGTCGGAGAATCTGCAAAACCCTTGCCCTCCTTCCTCCAGCATGTGCCGTGATGGGCTCCAGCGCTGGTTCATCTGCCGCTCAAAAATCTCACGCGAGCGAACGGTGTCAATCCTCAGCCGCGAGGATTGGGACCTTGAAATCACGATCACAAGCAAACGCGCAGAGCATTGAGCAACACACCTCGGGTTGAACCTCTCAAGGTGCATGCTGTCACCGGCAGTCTGCATGTGGATCGTAGACGATGACTATGGCTGGAATAAGCTCAAGTTCGTTCACGAGGGCTATGGCTGCCTCACGGCTGTGCCTGTGGCGCTGCCTCGCTGTCGCTGTCGCTGTCGCTGTCGCTGTCGCTGTCGCTGTCGCTGTCGCTGTCACTCGCGGGGCCCCGCGCTGACATTGTCACCGCCTGTCGTTGGCATTCACTGGCTTCACTGTCACTGTCACTATGGCTGTCACTGTTCCTGGTGCCTTTCACTCCTCCTTGGCAGCTGGCTGTCACCAGCTGTCACCAGCTGTCACCAGCTGTCACCAGCTGTCGTTGCTGCCGTCGTTGCTGCTGTCGTTTCGCAGCCGCTGTCATGACATATTGACCACGTCATGACGGTTAACAGCCGTTTTAACCGTCATGACGTGAACTCTCCATAGTCTCTGAATGTTTGGGCCCTCGCGGAAAGAAAACCGTCGTTTTTTTGCGAACAAGCGCGCCCGCCGCATCGGCTCGGCCCGGTCTGTGGCACGCGATCTCACTCCCTGGCCCGCTAGTGCCCCGAGAAGCAATGGGCGGCAATGAGCTCGAGGAGGGCGCTGGTCTCCAGCTCGACTGGACAAAGCTCGACAAGGTCGCCAGCAAGCACTGTGACGTGGTGCCGGTCGTCGTGCAGGACTCGCGCTCCGGCGCCGTGCTCATCTGCGCGTATGCAAACGAGGCTGCGCTCGAGGCCACCTTCAAGCAGCGCGTGGCCTGCCTCTGGTCAACCTCGCGCAACGAGCTGTGGGTCAAGGGTGCCACGTCTGGCGACACTCTCGACCTCGACGATGTCTTCATCAACTGCGAGCAGAACTCGCTCGTCTACAAGGTGACGCCGCGTCGCAAGGGCGCGTGCCATACCAAGGACCAGTACGGCAACACCCGTGTCAGCTGCTACTACCGCCGCGTGGCGCCGACGGCCAGCGGCTCTCTCCAGCTGAGCCACGCCGAGCCCGTATGCCCCGAATGCCCCGTGCCGCCTGCGCCAGAAACAGTCAACCGCGCCGCCCTGCTTATTGCCTTTGCGGCCGGCAGCGTGAGCGCCGCGCTGCTGACTGCTGCGGTGCTCCGGCGACGAAGGTAACCGTCGCCGCGCCGTCGGTGCTGTGTGCTGCTGGATGCGTTGACTTTCCCGCGCGGTCCGCAGGTGAACCGCACCGCACACGGGGCGTGCACACAGTGAGATAGGTCACATGCGCATGCACGTACATGTGTTCGCGGCTCTTGCATGGGGAGTATGCGGGGCATGGCAAAAGTATATATGAATAACAACACCGCCGACACATTCTCTCCGCGCCGTGAGCGCTCTGTGAGGAGGCGCACTACCAGGAGCTCGTCCTATCGCGACAGGCAGAGCGTCGGCGCCGCACAACGCGAGGTAGATGCCCCATCCCGCGGACCTGCCCGTCCACGCCGCCCTGTCCCCAGCCTGCGATCAACGGTGCCCGTTATTGGCATCTATCAGCCCGTCCACGCCGCCGTAGTAGGAGAACACGAATGCGAGGAGCGCGAAAATGGTGATCAGCAGCGAGCCAGCGATCACGCGCCCAATCGTGCCGTCCGTCGGGTCCTCCTCCGAGTAAACGTAAGCCTCGAGCTTGGCCTGCCGGATCTGCGCGGACTTTGTGTTGCCAAACTTCTCGGTGCCACCGACGCCAACGCGCCGGGCGTCGCCCTTCCTGCCGCCGCCGCCGATTTTCCCGAATCGCCCGCCCGAGCCACCCTGCGACAGGCGCCGATCATCTCCGTCTTCGATGCGCGAGCGCCTTCCGACCCGTCCGTCGGACCAGAGCTGCAGGACAGGCTGAGGCGAGCGGCGCGGCGAGACGACGAGGGCGGAGCGCGGCGAACTGGGCACGAGCGCGAGCGTCACGGCGCCGCAGCAGAAGAAGAGGTAGGTGATTGCGCGCATCGATTTCGCAACAGAAGCGTGCGACGCCAACGAAAGAATTCGCGCGACCCGGTTTTAGGTATGTTGTTGGCAATTCAAGACACAGAGCTCACACAGGATCACAGCGGGAGGAAAGCGGCGAGTCGCAATTCCAGGGGTCGTTGTGGCGGGCCACCCTGTCCAGAGAGGCATGGATACCAATCTGGGGTCTCTCGACCGAGTCTATGAAGGTTTGATCTCGATTGATCTCACTGAAAAGTCCTCCTCCTCCGGGAAAGTTAAATCGCCTAAAAGATAAATAAAAAGAATTCGCGGTATGACACCTCGTGTCGCGTGGCGGGAGGCTGCTCGGTGTGCGACCCCCTTCTGGCCAACCCACCACCATCGACTCGACCCCCCCACTCTAGCGCCCCCGCCGCGGCGAGCGTCCCGATGACGAGTCACAGCAGACGGGCGGACTGACTCGCGATGAGAAAACTGCAACGTGTACACTTGGCCGAGGGACGCCAGCCCACCGAACCCGCGCACCCGCCAGACCCACCCTCCGTGTTACCCGCTGAGCCTCGTCCGTGGCTCAAACCGGGCGTCAAACTGGGTGGACAGTGCGCGAGGCGCATATGTCTGGCGGCGGAGGCTGCCTCAGCGCGCCCCGCCGTCTTGAGCAACTCGGACATCCCTCTCTCTCACTGCCGAGATAAGAACATGCGACGTCCGCGTTCGAACCCGTCCCTCCGAGTGCGGCGCCGCGCGCCGCCGCTCCGCGAGTGACTCCGCCGCTGAGCCAAGCCGCCCCGACCTTGACAGGAGCGGCGGGATGACTCGCGGGAGGCTGTGAGTGGCCGTGAGAGGCCGTGGCACGTGGCCGGCGGAGGACGACGTCGACGGCGGAGAGCTAAGGCTTCGCGACGAGTACGAGGCTGAAGCGCAGAGTCTCGCAAGCCAAACGGCGGAGGCGACACTGCAAGGTGACCGGCCCGCGCCCTCCGTGCCCTCCTCCCTGCCCGCCCCCTCCGCTCCTCCCCGCCCGACCCACGAGCGCCGATGACGACCCAACTCTTACCTACATTGCCCGACGGGCTCTCCGCCCTCTGAGAGACATTTCAATCTCACGAATCCCGAGGCGCTCTCGGCCGAACCTTCTTGCCCGCACGGCCCCCTCCCCCAGCCCCACGCGCAAGGATGCTACTCAAACTTTCGTTCTACCGCACGCGGAGCCCTCCGTGGCCCGGTGGGGAAACTGATAGCTCTGGCTGACGCGCCTCTCACTCACTCACTCACTCGCCCTGCCGCCGCATATCACGACGCGTCGGACATCCCCCCTCCCCCACCCCCCCAGGTCCTGCGTTCGTTAACCTCGTCGCCGCCGAAAGGGTGGCATCACCTTTGTTTCCAGTCTCCTACTCGGAACTCTCGCTAGCCACGTCTAGCCTACTCGTGGAGAGGTGGAGTGTGTGGCGGGGAGGGGGACTGCCCGGACTGGTCGGGTCTCACGCGTGTGTGTTCCCTGTTCCTCATCTCGTGTGCGCACACCTTGTGACGGTGCCCTGGCAAAATCGTTCGGCCCGGAGGGCGGGGGCGGGGGGTCAGGTAGGGCTGGCGTGGGGGGCCTCAGGTAAAGGTAAACCTGTCTCAGACCGCCGGAGGTAGAGGTAAACGGAGCCCAGGTGAGGGCAGGTAAACGTACGCCCGTGAACGTGCCCGCCGAGGGCTCGAGGTGGTGGTAACGAGGGAGACGCACAAGGCTGCGAGAGCGCTTCGCCTGCGGCGCGCCTGCCCGGCCATGGACCAGGCTTCACCGCCGCTTGCCGACGGCTGGATTGAGGCGACGGCGCCGGACGGCAGCGCCTACTTCATTAACACGAGCACGCAGGAGACGCGCTGGCAGCGGCCCGAACCAGCGCCGCCGCCGCCTCCGCCACCGCCGCTCCCGCCGCCGCCGCGTCTCCCAAGCAGCTGGCAGGCGCTCAAGGCCCCTGATGGCCGCACTTACTACGGCAATTCCATCACCGGCGAGATCTGCTGGGAACCACCTCAGCCTCAGCTGCAGCCGCCGCCGCCGCCGCCGCCGCTTCCACCGCCGCCGCCGCCGCTTCCACCGCCACCGCAGCCGCCAGGTGCCGCCGCCGCAGGCACCGCCGCCACCACCGCTGCGCCACCCGCCGCCACCACCACGACCATCACGGTCTTTTTGGTGGACAAGAGTCGGTGCTCCGAGGGCTTCTCAAAAGCCGACTTCCACGGCAGGCCGGGCCAGTCGGACCCGCTGCCCCTGGGGAATGACAGCTTCTTCCAGCCCAAGCTGATCCGCGTGGCCGTCGACGGCTTGGTGCGGCCGACCCGCGCATCGTTTGAGTCCTCGATCGCGTCCGGGCTGAGGCTGGGCAATACGGTCATGCTGCGGTACAGCTTGGTGCTGTCCGGCGCGCAGGTCATCACGCCGATCGCGGATGACGACGCGATCGTCACGTACCTCGAGCAGCCGCTTTTGGAGGCCAGAGACTGTACGATGACCGCCAGCACGGATGTGTTGAGCTTGCTGGCAATTTCTGGCGCGGAGCCATCGCTAATTTTTGCTTCGAGCTCCTCGTAGGTGATTGGGCCCAAGGCACTCCCAACCAGCTGCAGCCGCGCAGTGTCAACCTCGAGGTTGGGCGCACATGCACCCGCGTCGGACGGGGCCGTCACAAGGAAAACCTTTGAGACGTCCGTCTCGATGCAGAGAGCGCCGGTGGCGTCGAGGGCGAGCTGTGCACGGAGAACATCGGGCAGGGAGGTGCCGTAATCAACTCGCTCCATCGACTGCTTCACTGTGTCGTAAGAGAATCCAGCGAGGTTGGTCACCTCGTGAAAGCTGGCGGGGTTGACGTAGCACGAGCTCCAATCGCTGCCCTGACCGTGCATGCCCGGGCCAATCAGCAGATGATTGATTGCACGACCGCCGCGCATCATGAGCTGCCGTTGCCAGGCCAGCAGCGTGGGCAGCTCATCACTCGTTGGCGAGCGGCCGATGGTGGGCCAGGTACCAATTTTGTCGAATTTATTTCAAAATCTGCAGGCGCGGAGCGCCTGCGAAAATTTTGAAGAAATTTGCAGTCGGGCCTGATTTTCATCAAGATCTTTCAAATTTGCGGTGTGGAGTTGGGGGGTGTGGGTTAGGTTAGGGTTATTAGGGTTAGAGGGTTAGGGTTAGGGTTATAGGGTTAGGGTTAGGGTCAGGGTTAGTCTTGTTGTGTCTGTATATGCCAGCGTTGCAGGGTTCTGCGCTGGGATCTGGCCGCACAGCGCCGACGACTAAGACTCAGCCCCACACGCTGACCTACGGCTTTAGGGTTGGGGTTTAGGGTTAGGGTTAGGGTTAGGGTTAGTCTTCTTGCTTGTGTTTGTATGCCAGCGTTGCAGAGTTCTGCGCTGGGATCTGGCCCCAGCGCCGACGAGTAAGACTCAGCACCGCTCGCTGACCCCACCAAATGCCGCCTCAGGGCGCCAGGCCGCCAGCCACTTCTTACACGCGGCCGGCGCCCTCTCGCGGCAAAAGGGTCGAGCGAGCGGGCAGAGTCGCGATGTCTGCGCACCCGCGTGCCGATGGGCGACACACGCAACCGAGAGAGGCCCTGTCGCGCCGCCAGTAGCGTTCTCCGCACTCCCCACGCCACCAATTGCCGCCTCAGGGCGCCAGCCACCTCTTGCACGCGGCCGGCGCCCTCTCGCGGCAAAAGGGTCGAGCGAGCGGGCAGAGTCGCGCGATGTCTGCGCACCCGCGTGCCGATGGGCGGCACACGCAATCGAGAGAGGCCCTGTCACGCCGCCAGTAGCGTTCCGCACTCCCCACGCCACCAATTGCCGCCTCAGGGCGCCAGCCACCTCTTGCACGCGGCCGGCGCCCTCTCGCGGCAAAAGGGTCGAGCGAGCGGGCAGAGTCGCGATGTCCCTGCGCACCCGCGTGTTCGCCGCCTATATGCTCTATCCTGTGCCAAGACGGACACATTTTGACAATCAAAATCTACCTCAAAATTTGCGGCCGCCCCTCGAAATTTGCTGATCAAAATTTGCGGTGGCCCGGATCGAAACCTGTACTTTGGCCAACCTATAAAAAGGGGGTCCCCCCGCGGGTATTTCGTGTGGGCCGAGATTTATCCGATTTTTGTCAGATTTTGCCTCAGAAGTCGTGGTAAACCTTACCACCGTTTGATTGTTTTGGCCGTAGAGTGTTTGATGGTTCTGGGGGGCTATACCAGTGGAAATGCCAAGCGGCTGCGCCCCCTGCCCGCCCCGCGCCTTAGTGGTTAGTCCCGCTTGGGACGGGCCGCCGCCGCCGGCCCGGCTGCGGCCACGGCCGGCTGCGGCTGCGTCAGAGCGCGCGAGAGGTCGGTGACTGGCAGCGCGAGGCAGAGGGCGAACTGGACTGTCGGCATCAGACCTATCGCCGCCGAAGGAGCCGTGAGCATGAGCCCCGGCGGGGAGTGGTGGGCGGCATCTGTGCCGTTGAGTGCGAAGAATGCGCCGAGCATGGCGATCCCGAAGAGGAGGAGCACGTGCGGCCGCCGCAGCACGAGCGAGAGCACGCAACCAAACACGACGCACCACGAGCCCGCCGCGAGCAGCTCCTGGTGATCAAACGACTTGTACGCGGAGGTGCGAGCCGTCGCCAGCTCGAGCGAGCGCTCCCAGAGGTCGGCCGTGTCGAGCGGCGGCCCGTCGGCCACCACCGGAGCGGAGGAGAGCGCCGCGCGGAGCAGGTTGCCTGGGAAGAGCACCGCCCGCAGCGCCGTCTTGGCGCTGTCGCCGAGCGGCTGGTCCTGGTTCTCGCGCAGCGTGGTGGCGATCACCTGCAGCGGCGAGATGGCGCCGCCCGAGGGGGCGAACGCAAGCGGGCTCTGCGTGAGGATAAAGAGGAGCGGCAGGAGGAGGGTGAAGAGACCCATCACACAGTTTGGGCCCGCGCCCGAGCCTGGAGGAGCCCGAAAGAATTTAAAGGCGGGCCTCACAGCAGACAGGCCCGAAAAGATCCCTTGGGGAGTCTGTTTTCTTTCTTTCTTTTAGGCCCGAAAAGAATTCCCGCGGGGCATGCCGGAGTGCAGTGCATCCTTTACTCACTCACAGGCCAGGGCCCACGCGAATACAGTAACGCGTCTAACGGGGCGCCGCCCTCTCAGCGGCGCAGCGCTGGCCGCTGCGCCGTGCGCGAGAGCCGTCGCGGTGGCGCGGAGACGAGAGCTCACGAGACGAGAGACGCGGACTAGACGAGCGACGGACGCCTCGACGGCGGGGGCGGCGAGGCACGCGGCGGCGCGACGGCAGGAGCGCGGCGCGCGGAGAGACGAGGCGAGAGCGGTGCGCAGTGCCCCGGAAGGGCCGACGAGAGTCCGCCGAGGCTGGGCCGAGATCGGAGATCGCCGGCCCCTAGGGGGGGGGGAGCAGCGCACGGGGGTGCCGGGAGGGGGAGAGGCAGCATGCGGGGAGTGGGGAGAAGCGAGAGACCTTCGGCGCGGGGGGGGGCGAGAGCGCGCGAAGGTGCGAGCGAGTGCGACGCAG